TACCATCATGGCATGCCCAGGTCCGGGCGAAGCCGAAGAGGAGGAGTGCGAGGGCAGGAAGTTCATTGTGTCGCCGGGGGACTGTAGCAGTGGCATCCACGGCGCCATCTTCGACCGGTGCTCCTTTGAGGCTTTGCGTTCATGGATGCGGGTGCTAGAAAATTGTGTCCCCGATTCCTTTGACCTGACGTCCTGCCTGTCACTTGCCCACCAAGTGGGTTTGATGTTGAGCGTTTTGAGCGAACGAGGGAAGGTATTTGGGTAGCTTAGCTCATCGCCCAATTGTTCATGTGCCATACTTCTGAATATGCTTTGCTATCCAGATCGTGAGGACAACTCTTGGTTCGGCTGATTTGAAGCCTGCATGAAGAAATTGAGACTGAGCTTCTTGCGCGTAACCCGCTGGAAACTTGTTATAGTTTACCAAGGCGATCAACCGCCTTCATAGGGGTGGTCATCTAAAACGTAACCTATGTTCTCTATTGCAATTTTCTTCGTAGACATGTGTAATGCCCAAGCAGTTTCATGGGCATTCTCAAATTGTGTTTGCTTAAGCGGTACTCAAAATCCAACGATCGAGACTTGCAGCGGGTGCGGCTATCCAGATTTTACTAGTATTCTGACAAGAGCCTGCAAAGACAAGAGGTATTTGCAACTAGAACACATCACAGGGGCGTTTGGCCACTTCTGATAGACGATCTCAGTGCTTTGCAGGCTGTGTTTGGCTACTTGACTGCGTCATGTTGAGAATGCAAACATGTATTATTGCCTGCAGGAAGCGTTATTATTATGAAAGTAAGGTACAGATCGAAAGTAGACCAACCACGGTAGATTCCAGGGGTCGCCCTGCTTTTTCCCTGCCTCACTTTCGGACACAAACCTTGGGGCGTCAAGTATGGAGCAAGTAAGGAGAGCAACTTCTGGAAAGGTTAACACCCTTCCAAGGCTTCTAAGGACCTTTCCTGGAAGGGGCGGGGGTTAGCTGGGTTTTGTGTTTTTCTTCTCGCAGGCGACAACAGAGGCTGAGCCTTTGTCTGGCAGAGTTCTGATTCGAGTTGTGGTGCACCAGCGGAGCTACGCACTTGGCATCGGTGTTGCCACTCGCGAGCTGCCACTGGATAAGGACCGTGGGTGCTCCAAATCCCAGGTGTTCGTTTGAAATAGATGGGACTGGCAAAAGGTTGGATCCAAGATGAGTTACATGCTGCACATGCCAGTGCCGATTGTGGGGACCACCTTTCGGATGGTTGTTACAAGGTAGGATGGCTGTTGCAACCTCACCCATGGCAATTGCCGCTTGGAAGCATAATTCCTCTGGTGATTGGAAGCTTGCTGCTAGTTGAGCCAGTGTTGTCACCACGACCACCACGACGACGACGACGTTGACTACTAGCTACTACTAGCTACTACTAGCTACTACTAGCTACTACTAGCTACTACTAGCTACTACTAGCTGCTACTAGCTACTACTAGCTGCTAAGTACTTACGCGTACGCGTAGGTGGCCGTGCGTTTTCAAGCATCGCGACTATTTCCACCGGGATGCGCCTGTGCCGGAATTAGACCAGCACTTGTTGACGTCAGTGGCATCTTAGGCTTCAGACCAAGTATGGTCAGGCGGTTCTCTTCGTAGTTCGCGCATCGCCCGGGATCTTGCCGTGGGGTGGCGCCATTTTAAATGTCACTTGGATTTTAGTTGTCAGTTGCGTGTGACTGCCAGACGGATTTTGATTGCCATTTTTGATATCGCTGGAGGTGACCTGGTGTTGAAGCGTCACTTTAGCAGTCGCCAGGCGCTCCAATGTTGGATCCCTGATCGCCGCAACCCTGAACGCGCTTTCCGTGAAAAGTTGTGATTTTCGAGCGCGCGTCGCGCAACTGTTGCACGTAGAAACTTATCATTTTGTAGCCGGAGCTGCGGGGGTAGACTTTGCGTACTCCTTTTGTACTTAGAGTTGCGACTTTCAGCGACACTGAGTCCCACAATTCCCAGTTTTCAGGGTCAAACCATCCCAATTTTCGGTGTTAACCCATCCAAATTTGCCGCTGGGAGATGTTCAGGCGCAAGCCTACTGTTGCGTTCCTCTTTTACAAGGGCCTGCGAGGGTCTTCGTTAAATACCTATGTGGCAGGATGCCCACGGTGCGCCTCACATATCCCAACAAGTCCATACGACAAAAATAAAGGAACAACATATAAGATATATTGTATATATGGTCACGCCCGCCTGCATGACCCACCAGGTATGTATATAAGTGAATCAATCTGCAGGTTTGCTCAAACCTGTCGCAGGTCACCGTGTTGGTCACAGGGATATGGCTATGATCCTTTCGGCTAATTGTCGGCTCCTCGAGAACTGGCTGTGGCGACTATGTCTTGCTGCGGTTTCAAACAAAAAAAGTGTTGCGTAGTGATGTTCTGCTGTAAAGGGGATTGAAGGGGTCACTTCCCTGAAGCTGAAATATCAGGATACAGCTTTCACCAAGTATGGTGAGCTATGATTCTGCATTTGTCCATCTCCCAGCCCAGTTTGAAACCTTAAGCGTGCCATGCCAGGATCCAGAGTACCAGCCACAGTTCTTCGGCCTCTACCATGGCGGCCACAGTACCAACTCCTGTGGGGGAGCCAAAAGGCGTCACCGAGGAGGAATCGTCAAAAGGCTTGCTAAGTCAGCCGCACATGGCCCATGGTTGAAAGTTCCGAAGGCTTTCATCGTCTAGTGTCCGGTGTGTGTGTGTGTGTGGTGGGAGTTGCCCTCATTGCTTGGTACAGCGACTTCAGTCGCAGGCTCGCGCCTTCTTCTCCATTTCTAACACATGAATGTTTGGTCATTAGTCTATTGGCTTTCCGATAGCTTCAGGCTTCCTATTCTTGAGTGGCGTTTGGGTTGGTGGGGGTTCAACACATCGGCCAACTCAAATCCCAGCAGGAGGATCCTCTGGATCCTGGGGGAGTGAAGCGAAGCTGGCCATTTTAGTGGATACGGACGCCCACACGAAGCTTAGATTTTCTTACGACGCAATTGACACAGTCCAGCGAGCTGTCTTGTTTGTGAAATGGAGTTCTCAATAGGCGAATATTATATAGAGCGGGTTCACCTTTTGCTTTCAGAATCGGAGGGGTGTCTCAAGATGCGCCGCGTCAAGACCTCACGATGGGCATTTTGGGCTTGGGAAGCCAGATTTGGGTATGGGTCAAAATGAAAGCACGAGGGGACCGCAGGTTTTAGTCCTTGGTTCCATTTACTAGGGTTCCAAAATGGATACCCATTTTTGACCCACAGCCATTTTTGCCGAGGATGCAGTGCTTTGAGGACACCGAGCCCTTTGGCCCTCCATCAACCCTGCCGGATGAGCCTTTGTGGCCGGTGGTGGTGCTCTGGAACCTTGCTTGACATGCCTTTTGGTCAGTGTCCTCAGACCATGGCGCTTCAAATACAAAGTGGGCATCCATCGCTTTTTGGTGGCTTCTTTGGACCCTGATGTTTTGTACGTCTTCCTTTTGGGGAGCCCTGTGTTCCTGTCTCAGTTTGGAGTTCTGATTCTTTGTCATGCCTTTTGTGGTGGGATTTGTACTGCATGTGTCCACGCTTATTTTCCCGTTGCCAACAGATGAGTTGGCTACATACAAGGAAAGAAGGCGACTCTGCGAGCCTATCGGTGACCTCGATCTGAGATGTTCGTCCCGACGCACCCGCCCGCCGCAGTGAAAAAATGCGAGAGTCAGATGAACTTTGAAGACCGTTGAGGGGTACAAGTAGAGGAACCCTGAAATGAGCGAGTTCCTGTTTCCTTTGCTTTCCCAATTAAACAACTGCTAAAAAGGGTAATGACCATGTTGAGACTTGAGCACACTCCCATTTGCTGGCTTGATGCATGTTTGAAGGGCAAGAATGGCCATGGAAGAAGATGCCTCGCTGTGGCGTGATGTTTGCTCGGGGCGGCTAAGTCAAGCAGTCTGGGCGTCAAGCGAGATTGTCCATCAGGAAGGTTATTTTTGCTGGGGGGGTAATACATTCTGCATATATATATATGTATATATATATATATATGCACGTATGTATGTGTACACGTTTATACTCAGATGCATGTACAGTATGTTGGTTTTTGCAGATTCCATGTGTGTTGGTTGAGTGTGAACGCTGAGGGACACAACAGCCTTTTTTGTATTTTTATTCCTCGGTGGTATTCAAGAATACGAAGACAAGGCTCTGACTCCTTGGGGTGTAGAGGGAATCTGCCCTCCAAAGAGATAGTTGACACCGTGACATTGATTGCCGAGGGAGAATGATAAGTTTGGACCGCGTGCATCCATGCCTTGAAATGGGCCCATGATTGTTCAGGAGTACCCGCATGCGCACAGGGGCTATGAAGATAGGCACATCGGCCCAATCTCGATAGACTGAACTTGTTGACATGTTCTCTGTTGGCAGCCAAATGAGCCCTCCTACGTGTTTAGGGTGTTTGTTTATTTTGTCCAGAGGGTCAAAAGGCAAACTCTTCTTCATGCTAGGCATTTTCCAATGTCACGCGCGTAAAACCGGGGATGGTATACTGTCTATGTGAGTTATCGGTGTGTCGCTTGTCTATTTCGAATCTCGTGTAAAGGGAATTGCAAGACAAGCCCATAAATAGGGATGCTACAGGCTGGGAGGCTGCACCGGTGTTTGGGTATCGTCCAATGGGCGAGGGGTTTGGTTAGAGCCATTCTCTACATCTAAGCCATGGTGGTGGTGTGTTTCCATGCACTCAGAAGTTCGGGGACAAAGTCTGCTAGGAGTGCCAGGCAAACCAAGTTAAGGTGGCTGAACCTGTTTCACCCTTGTTGTTTCCCTCGACATGTTCAGCCATGACCCATTGACCACAGGCTTTTGCTTCATTCAAGGCCTCAAGGCTTAAGAGTTCAATCTCTTGGACCCAAGTGAAGTGCTGCCTTTGGCACACGGAAAGTTTCGCACTCCTTGTTTTGTCTGGGAGCCCAAAGTGTCAAGACTCGCCCAGATCGCCCTGCTGGTGGTGTCCCCCACTCGCGAGCTGGCATTGCAGATCCACAAAGAGGCCATTCCGAGAACCCGCGCTGGGGATGAGCTTTGGTGCCCGTTTTGGCTGTGGGTCAAAAATGGGTACCCAAAATGGAACCTGGTAAGTTTAAATGGAACCAACGACCAAAAACCTGGGGTCTGTTGGTGAAAAATGTTTGACCCATACCCTTTTGGCTCCAAGCCTTTAAGCTCTTTAAGAGAAGCCCGGGACCGGGGAAGACGAAGGTCCAAGTTTGTCCAAGTCCATCGGGCTGAGAGCGCTAGCGTGCCCGGGGCTGCCATTTTATGTTCGCTTTCTCATGGATGGACGCTCTCAACTGGATGTTCGGCACAATGGAAGGAACAACCAGTTGGCTTGCTTGCAATCTTCTTAAATTGGAGGCCTTTTGTTGTCACATGTGCAACAAAAGGCACCGTGAAACTTGTCAGCTGCCTATTTGTAGGAGGCGCGGAAAGAAGCCAACATGTTCGCTGCTTGCAGCAAAGCATGGAGCATAGAGAGGAGTGATTGATGAACCATGCTTTGAGCTCGTGTGGAATTCCCTAAGGTTTGCTGCCCGCAAAAAAATCCAAACGCCAGATCCATAGGGCAGATTTGCTCTATTGACGTGGAGTGGAGGCCAGCTCTCAAAAAAAGACGGTGCGCTCTTTGTTGCTTCCGGCCTGACAGACCCAGGATTCGCAGACCCAAATCTTCACACCTTGGCCATCATTTTGTTCCACCCTCCAGATTGTTGGTAAGGAACGCCGCATTAAGCAGCCCCGGAAAGGAACCCTGCCCCAAGACAAACCCATTCCCCCTGACGAGGGTCCCCTTCTCTAGTCTGCCTGTCGAAGCCTGGCCCAGGCTGAGATGTTGCTTTCCACGCACCATATCCCAGCGATGAGCATGATCGGCGGGACGAGTCAGAGGCAAGACCAGGCCGCGCGCGGGTGAGCCGTCGAGACTTCTGACTTGGATGCTCCTACGCGAGTGTTGTTTTTTATTATTCTTTTCTTCGGCTTTTCCCTCCCCCCCAAATGGTTGGTTTTCTTCTGGTTGTCCTTTACAAGTTATCCAGTAAAAAATACATAAGCCCTTATTAAGACCTTGGTGATATAAAGAAGGCAATAATAAGAAAGTTTCTTTATCCAAGCCTAAGCAGCAGATCCCTCAGTGGGCCTTGAGCTACAAAACATTTCTTTACTTTAGGCCTGCTGGTTGCAAATGGCTAGTCTTATGTGTTTGTTTTAGTGAGGTGACCCGCATTGACAGGTGTCAGGTAGTCAAGAGTCTTTCCCAGAGTCTCCAAGTGGCTCATCACAAGCGAGTGCTTTTCCACTTGGTACGCTCGGCGCTTCTCAGGAGGGTGAGTCTAGGCTTTTGAAATCGCCCTTTCCCCCCGCATTTCTGATTAAGAGATTAATAACCCTCGAACAAGGCCTTGAAAATATCTTATTAAAGCCTTATTCAGGGTTTATTAAGCCTTATGGATAAGCCGAGGATAAGCCCAACAAAAGCCCGGATACGCCCAGGATAAGGCAGGGTAAGCCCAACATAAGCCGAGGAGAAGCCCAGAATAAGCCCAGGACAAGCTCAGGACACCCAAAAGAACCTCAAAATAAGCCCAACCGGCTTAGGCATGGCTTGAGCCAGTGGCACTAGTCCATGTACGAACTCGGGCTATGTGTGAAGAAATGGCCATGAGCTAAGAACAACCTTGTCCGTAACCCAAGCTTATCCAACCCTGATGGATAAAGGAAGTAACCCCGCCTCTCATAGGGTTTCCGATGCGTCCATGACAGGTAGGGCGCAACCAGATTATAAGAGGGGGAGTTCATAAACATACTGTTTCCCTACATACTGCAAGTGACCAACCATACCAACATGCAACCGCAAAACTCTGGCATGTTGTGAGAATGTTGGGAGGGAATTTGATAAGCCCCCGGGCAACATTGATTGGTCAACGGAGGAGAAAAACAGTGAAGGGGGCTCCCCACCTGCCCTTTGCATATCGAACTCTCATTGCAAAAATGAACTAGGCGCCAACTAGATCCAACCAGTCTGGCTCTAGGAAGCTGCATTCCAGGCCCACCAGCAAGGTACAAAACTTCATCGCTTCACCCGCGCGCAGAGTTGCTGGCAGTCCGCTGGTAACTTGAGCTAGAAGCCATCCCCCAGGACATGTTCTTCTCGAAACCAAGCTGCTTGATCGAATTCGGGAGGACCCCAGTTGGATGAGCTTTCTTGAATAATGTTGACCCCATATTAATCAACCCCAGTTTATCAATAGGGGGGTGTCCCTCCTCCCAGAAAAAGAAGAAGAAGAAAAAACGCACAAACAAGTTGTTGAGTAACACGGGAAACCAACATGAGTCAGCCCCGCTTGCACCAGGTGGCCTTGCGCCGGCGCAAGCCACGTGTGCTGGCGGCCAGTCTGCACAGGGCTTCAGGTACACCACGCAAGGAATTGAGGAGAGACATTAGGATTCCCATGAGGATCCCTCTTCCCCACATGTGGATCCCTCTTCCCCACAGAAAGTTTGATCGAACTTTTCAAGAATGGGTCTCTTGCAGGAAGCTTCTAAGATTAGAACCTTTTCTAGGGGGTTAGAATCTTTGCTCAATCCCCGCTTGCTGATTTGTCTGGTGGCTGCAAATGCACAGATCCCTGAAAATGCCTGTTGCTGGGTAGATTTCGGTTTTGATCAATGTCATCATTGACATTGAGGGTTTGGTTTGTAGCTCGGGCTACTATCGTCGTTCTCATGCAAAATGGTTGACACCGAGAAACCACCAGCAAATGCTTCGGGTGGAAACTGCGCCCAGATTGCGACACCTGGGCGCTTGCTGGAGCACTTGGAGAGGACGGGCTGAGTCACATCATGCAAACCAGGGAATCGAAACTCTGGTTTCCGCAGGGCCCAGGTCGAAGCTTGGAAGATGTTGGAAGTGACGCCAAGTGTTTAGTGTGGAAAGCTGTTCGCCAAGCGTGGGTGTATTCCACATGGGATTAAGCCTATCTCTGCTGTTTGGACAGCTCAACAGTAGGACTGGTGAAACCGATCCGTACCTCAATGAGTGCGTGGTAAAATGGACATGTCGGCGGACAGGGAGTGGATTCGCGCAGGACGTACTTGTTTCCCACACTCTTCGAGAACCTGCAAACCTTTGCTTTGACCTTAGATGGCAGCAGGTGCAGGTGGCTGGAAGCGATGGCAGGCACTGAGAGGCAGAGGTTCTGTAATACCCTGGCTTGCTGGCTTTGAAGATGAGAAGACATTTGGGAAAAAGCTCGCACACTGCCACACTGTCTGCTGCCGCACAGAGCCTCCCACTACCCTTAAAATTTGTGCCTGAGCGACCGCGGGCGATGTGTGCTCAGTGCCTACCTCAACGCAGAATTTGTGCCCCGCTACCTACTAAGTACTACCTACTACTGCCTCCTACTATTAAACTTGCTACTACTGCTGCTGCTGCTGCTGCTACTACTACTACTACTACTACTCCCAGTCCCAGTCCCACGCCCACTCCCACTCCTACTCCTACCACTACTACTATTACTACTACCGCTGCTGCTGCTAAGGAGCCGCAAGCTGACAGAGGCGATGCAACTGGATGGTTCTACAGTTCTACACTAAGACTACTAGGACTGCCTGGCTGTTTTTTTGTTCAGTCAAACTCCCGTATTTGGCCATATTTGCCCGTATGGCCATGTTTTTGTCCGGTCATTTGCGAATCACCCGTATGAAACCGATATTTTGTTCGACATGTTGCTGAACAAAAAGCCGAAAAAAGTCCGTATGGCCATTTTTTCGGTCAAAGTCGTATGACCTAAAGAACGGTCACAGGGGGTCCCAGCTGGCTTCATATAGCCCAAATTATGGGGATCTTTTTGCTTCTCCTTTGCAGTCCTGAAGGCATGTGCCAGAGCTCGCATATCCTCGTTTATGGTGCATACGCGGCGCCTGGGAAATCAAGTAAGCGTGCGTCTCTCCGTTTCGCTCCTGCGGGTGCGTGAGGGTATGTTGATTCTTGCTTGCCATATAACATCACCAACAAAAGATTCTGAATTCGCAGGCTCTATGGCCGAGATATGTGGACCGGGAAGTCAGTCCGCAGGAACTTGCCGCCGTGTACTGAAACAAAAATTGGTGGAGCAAAAAGGGTTATCCCACTTGAATTTGGATGTTCGTGATGTTTCACGTGTCTTGGGTGCCGCCGTTCCTTGTCGAAAAATGAGAGACGTTTTGCCGTTTCCCCCCCCGGCTGCGGTAGGTCTTGGACGAGGCCGATCGGCTCTTGAGCCTGGGCTTCCTGCCGGAGGCATGAGCCATGGTCCCGAAATGGTGTTTGCGCAGCTGGATTGCAGCGAAAAACATGCCCCTTACTTCCATCTAATGACGAATACTTTGTTTGTTTTGCCTGGTTGGTTTTAAAGGGAATCTATCACTACTGGAAGTATGTTTATTTTTCCAGGGGGCTTAAGCAAATAGAAGCTTACATATTGTTGGCCAGTTTTTGGTGGGTGTTCGATATTCGGCTTGGGACAAGCGGAGTGAGTGGGATTCTCGAAGTCAGGGCACTCACAGAGCCAAGCTACCAAGCAGGATTGAGCGCTGTTGAATTGGCAGCTGCAGCAAACAACTACTGGTAGTGGCAGCAAGGACGAGTGGACAAGAAGCAGCAACAGATGGCAAACTCTGCGACCTACCGGAAATACGGCAGCATGGGACGAAGGGCACAGCAAGCAGATGATTGGAGCCACACTGCATGCCAACAACCGCCTGTGTTGACCTTGTCTGTGTTGACCTTGTCAGGCTGGATGCCCAAACTGTGCGTCCCTGTGTGCTTGGATGAGGCAGAAGTGGAGAAGTATTTGTTTCCTACCAAACAGTTCTGATTCTTCTCACGCAGGTCAAGGAGATTGTGTCCTACTTGCCTTCCAGGCACAAATGGGCAGGGTTGCGGATTGCAGCGTTTCAGTTTCAGCGAGTCTCACCAACCAGTTGGTTTCCACGTTTGCGAGAGGGACTGAAACGAGCGAGGGAGCGAGGAGTCGAAATCAGCAATGGTCAAGAATCCTGCTCCTTTTCCAAGAACATTGTCTTTCAAGGGGGTCTATGCACTTTCATGCGTGCCATGGTCAAAAGACCTCTACGCGGGCTTGGTGTTGGCCCATTTTGGCAGGCAATTCTGGATGACGTCATTGGGACAAGATGGCGCAAATATGTCCAATCCATGGGGTAGATGCTAAATGCAAAACATCAGTTTTTCGGGGTCCACCTTCATGTGTGTTGGTGCCCATATTTTGAGACACTTTTGTGTTGGTCCTTTCATGTTGTGTTGGTCCTCCGATTTTACGTACAAATGTGTGTTGGTCACCCCAATTTTCGGCGTACAAATTTGTGTTGGCCCCCAAATTTTGATGTACACATTTGTGTTGGTCGCCCGTTTTTGACGTACAAATTTGTGTTGGACTCCCAATTTTGACGTACACATTTGTGTTGGTCGCCCGTTTTTGACGTACAAATTTGTGTTGGACTCCCAATTTATACGTACAAATTTGCGTTGGTCCCCCTATGTTGACGTACAAATTTGTGTTGGTCCCCCGATTTTGACGTACAAGTTTGTGTTTGCCCATTGACGTACGCAATTGTGTTGGTCCCCCGATTTTGACGTACAAGTTTGTGTTTGCCCATTGACGTACGCAGTTGTGTTGGTCCCCTGTTTTTGACGTACACATGTATGTTTGTCACCCGATTTTGACGTACAAATTTGTGTTGGTCCCCCGATGTTGACGTGCACATTTGTGTTGGTCCCCCCGATTTTCACGTACCAATTTGTGTTGGTCCCCCTATTTTGACGTACAAATTTGTGTCAGTCCCCACGGTTTTGACTCATTTGACGAACAGATTTGTGTTGGCGGGTCCCCCCATTGTTGAGAAGCACCCATTTTAGTCTATTTTAGTGGGGATTGAGATGTCCACTGGGGGTACGGGATTTGACCCATGGCCAAATGGCGTCCTAGAAAGTTGTGTTGGCGTTGGAACCTCTGAGACGCCGGACCATGCTCTTCTCCGCCACGATGCCTGAGAGCGCTGGGCGGCCAAAGCTCAGCCAGCGAAAGCCATGAGGAGCCTTGGGTGTGTCTCTCTTTTTGTAGGGCTCCCGCCCCCCAAAAAAATGCGGGGAGGGGGTGGGGGGACTTCAAGAATGGTTGGATTTCCTTTTGGATTTCCTGAATACCCCCAATACAATAATGCCCCCAAATGTTGGTTTTTGAGGACTTGGGGTTTGCTGGCAGGTTTTGATTGAACAATTGGCAGGTCTGTCCCCCAAGTGCGTGCGGGGTTTCGGACCAGCCCGACGTGCCCAAAGTGGGGCTTTTTGACCTGCAGAGGTCATCCAAGCGGGTTGGGTTACCTATCCCAATGGTCGTGTTTGCGCCGGCCCCATGTCCCCCCTTCAAGTTGGCGCTGTAACGACGAACAACCAAAACGGGTTCCCATCCCCATAGCCACAGCAACCAAACCAAAGACATGCGGCCTGCACAAAGAAGCCCTGACAACGACGCCCTCCTGAAACAACTATGTTACGGGGAGCCTCGGGGAGGTGCTCTGTGTTTTGTGGAAGTTTGCCAGAAGAGGCTTAGCGTGGATGTCCCGTGCCTCGTCGCGAAGCTGCAAGGAAGGATGCAGGTGTCGCCAACCTGCTTTGAACAGGAGAGCAGACTTGTTCTTTTCCCTGGGAGGGTAAAGCTAAGTCAAGCAGGAATCACAGCAGTCCAGGTCTCACTACGATGACAGCGTCCTTTTAAGCAATTTAAGCTATGATTGAAGATGTTGAACCGCTGTGATCACAAAGTGTTGATGCTTGCCCAATGTGGCTGTGGGTCAAAACCAATGGTGCCATTTTGGGGTAGGTGCACCAGTCTATTTTAGTGGGGATTTGATGGCCATGTTGGCACTGAAATTCATGCTCGCTGCTTGAAGGCCTGCGACCGTATGTGCAACCAGCCACGTGAGGTTATGGACGTGGTGTCTAAAGCTTGCCGCGGCAACTACCGCTACATTGACTGCGTCGGGGAGGAGCACTGCTGCACTGCGCGGGCTTCAACTACTCCCCTCTCCAAAACTTGGTAGCCTTTTAGCTTTTAGTGATTAGTGGTAGTTTCCATTTAACCCACTAAAAGTTAAACTTTTAGCGGGGGATCTGAGGGCAGCCCAGAAAACAAGACTCCTTTTTACATCATGTGTTCGTTGGGTTCCACGTGAATCTGAGCAGTTGCAACACCCATCGGGCTGTTTCGTGGAACACTACTGGATTTCGCTGCCGGTTTGTCAATTCAGCTTTGGAACAGTCGAGCGCCAGCATAGTTCAAGGAATGCAACATTCAAAAGGGTCACACGAGTCAATCATGGGTAGTGGTCCAGGAAGTCGTCCTCGAGCACAAGCATGCTTCAATTCTAATCTCAGGCAAGCACAATGCCTCATGTTTAACAACTCTCCATCGTAGGATCACGTTATTCCCATTCCACTTGCTGGCCTCAACATCCAAGCCTTGAACCCTTGAACGAACAGCCAGCTTCAGTCGGTGGCACTTGTTTCGTGTCTTGGGCTTCAATCCCTTACAGGAGTCCTGTTTGAAGCTTTCTCACGGTACAGGTTTGATTTTCCCGACGTTTTGAGTCATGGCCCCAAGCGGAAAATAACCGCTAAGCCGCGAATGCCTCTTGGACAAGTCCAGAATTCGAGGCCCAGAAGTTTGGAAGGCCTCGCTCTGACGCGTTTCTCAAGTTGAGATGGTTTTCCGAGTTTCCCCTTGAGAACCTGCTTTGTGGTTGGGACGAAGGTCTCCACCAACTCCCAAAGGGCCCAACTCAGTGCAGGAGTCTCAGTCCACAGCAGCCATGGCAGAGCAGACTTATGTGGTCCTACCGGGGCCTGGGGCCTGATGTACAGCGTTCTTCGGATCCCGGCGCTGGGTCTCAACACGGAGTGTCGCGAGGATGAGCAGTGGGTCAATCGTTATGATGTGCCTTTCCCAAATCGCTCCACGCTAAAAGTGAACCGCGGACAAAGGGTGTTCTTGGCTACTGAGGCCACTGAGCAACAGACCCAGGATATAGCTAGCTGATCAGATTGTTGGCTGTCTACTTTTGGTTTGAGGACATGCGGTGACCCAAATTTCCCACAAAAGCTATGGGGACAACCCGTGCCCTCTTGGAACAAGGACTTTTGTCAACTCTGAGGATCCTACACAGCAAAGTCGGGGCCATTCCCAGAAGCTTTGGTGCCAGTGGGGTAGCTGCCCGAAGATGGCACAGATATGGGGTGAGGTCGGGGGATAAAACCGTCCACGTGCGTTGAATGTTCGTTTTGCGGGGCTTACTCCTGGTGACATTGGTTTCGGCAGTATGCAGCTTGCTCAAGCCAGCCAGGCAATCAGGAAGCAAACTAGCAAGCTAGACACAGGTCCACAACTAGCCAAGTCTAACCCAGACTTTCACGCGCACTACACGCCAGCATGGTTAAGTGGCCACTTTACAATGGCTCCAAGCCCAGCCTCAACCAACCTAGGATCAACCAAATTCCCTGCTGCAAGGCATTGGTTTTGCAGCCGGTCTACATAGATTGCTGATATACCTAAGTGGACCAACTGGTCCCCTTCCTTCGCCTCCCTTAGCCGCATGTTAGATGAACTTTCCCATTGCTGAATTTGAGCAATGCTTGCTTTGTTGCACCTGAATGTGTGTTGGTCCAAGAGGTTGCACGCATTGTTAGGTGGAGTGCTTGGCCACAAAACATGAGTTTTATAGATTATAGATGCGGTTGGGTTCTGATTTTGGGACGTTCGAGGCATCAATGCCTGGCTGCATTGTACAACATCATCATGACCGAGATGGCTGCTAATCGGTGCCCCCGTGATTGGCAACCGGCTCAGAAGGAACCATACAGATGTTATTCTTCCTGAATGCTTCGCCCCTTTGCAAACAACAAAAACGGGTTGCTCAGGCCAAAATTCCCGGTGGAAGGTTGAGGACATTGGAATAGTTCACTTCAGATGGTCGGCGCATCTAGTAAAGATGGTTGATCAATTGGTTCAGATTCACAACAACGTCTGGTTCCCCGGGTAACTTCTGCAACACATTCGTTGGTATTTGTACCTAGGAAAAGCTCGAAGTCAACACTTCTGAAAAATAGATTCTGGTTCTCGTTTTGACGCGTGGGAGTTGTCCCGCTACACAGATAATGTTTGGTCTGTTGGCTATTGATGCTGTACTTTTGGACCCTCTTCATGAAGCTTAGCTGATCTGGACAACAGCCTCCATCCATCAAGCAAAGGTCTTTGATGCTGAAACTGCCGGCTTGACCAGATGAAAGTGAAGAGAAACCAAAATCAAGCAACGGCAGCTTAGAACCTGAGCGATGAAGCTTTGAGGTCCGAACAGACAGTTCTCCACAGTTCCACTGGAAGCCCTTACTAGCATCGAATGCACTTGTTTGTCTCCTCATTTCAATCCCTTCACTGCTAGACAGGATGAACTCGGTGAGAATCTACAAGTCTGCCACTTCTGAACTGAGATTGGCATTGAAAGTGTGTCCATTGCGTTTTGAATGGACTGCACAGGCCCATTATTATGCTTTATTACTATATTATGGTCATGATTGTCACCATTTTGTGTCATGCTTACTATTACTGTTATTACTGTTATTATTGTTATTATTAACCTCCTGTACATGGGTGGATTACGTGAGAGAGATCCCATGTCATTTTGCCCGGGAAGCGCTTTCTGAGCATACATTTGCCTGCGTTGAAACACGTCCGTTTTGGTTTCAGTTTGCAACAGGTGTATCAGTTTGAGCCATTTGCAAATGGAAGCTTGGCAGGTACAGCTACAAGATCTTGGTCTTCTTTGCCACAGCCTTGAGCTCAGAGATACATGTCAAGGAGCTTGAACGACAGAAACTAGAGGGACACACGATGCATCGGCAAGACGCTACACCCAAGGGGAGGAAGACATCAGCGTATCTCAAATCATAAAGGGATGGCCCTTCAAAACAGTCGAGCAAACAACTATTGATTCAAATCCCCAAAGCCAGCAACATCGAATTGCTCAATCCACCGATTGACCGCTTTTCACATAGTACCATAAACCACCAATCAAAGCTCCCAATTGGCATGGAAGGTGCACATAGATCCTATTGGGAGTGGAGAAGTGAGGCCCGAATGACCGCCTTCATGGCTCAGCTTGGAGCTTGGAGTGCGTGAGCGAGATAGCGAGATAGCGAGATAGTTCAGCGGGCAAGAGATACGAGGTCCCCCCAGCAATTGGTGCCCTTCTCTCCCCTTTGGTTGAGAGGGTTTTCTGTACTAAAAGGTATCGTGTTGGTGAGGACCCTCTACACGAACCGTGTTTTCAAACTGAATCGCCAAGTTTGGCGGGGAGAGGGGGGGGTTCGGGCGGGGGAGGGATGGTTACGTTCATGCTGACCGCAATGACAAACAACGACTCCCCCCACCGCACGGGCTCGACTCTTGTCGAAGCTGCTGCCTTCGCGATTTCACCTCTTGCGCGAGCGATGCAGTTGCCAGTGAACGCTACTTTTTTTTCCTTCATGAACAATGCCAATTTCTTCCACCAACCTGCACCCACTGGTTGCGGAACCAACACAACCTGTTTCTCGTGGGCCTCATTGCCACCAACGAGAACATATCAAATAAATGTCTCCTCTGTTCTCAGCGTGGCTGTACCTGTGTGGCCTCGGAGCATATCCGCACATACGATCGCCGCACCGGCCCCACTTGGTTTGAGTGTGTGCCGGCTTGGGCGAAGCCTTCGGCTTAGCTCGTGCTTTTGGTCGCTCTGCAGACAGCTGACGGCATGTGACTTCCGGGTCAAACTCAAGTTCTTCTTCGCTTTCACTCGCTTCGCAACCTGAAGACACTCGATTCCACAAGATGCAAAAAACACAAGGGTCCTGACCAACACGACGCGTACTAAAATAGACTACGGAACAAAGTTGGTTGGTACCCTTATTCTAACCTCTCTACTGGAGGACCTAGGATAGCAATGGGACAGAAGAGCTTTGCCCTATCGAAGCCGGAGCCATCAAAGTATTCAACCTCATCACCATGTCCCTGGGGCCTTTCACTGCCGAGTCCTATCCCCATGGCAAATGCATGGATGGCTTTTGGAGGTGGTTTTGAGCCAATCGAACATGATGTGTCGCACTCGTTCGGCAAGTTTTAGTTGTTTTTTTTCCCGGTAACAAATTGGTTTTGGACTGGTAAGAAAAGCTTTCTATGTGGAATGTGTGCTGCTTTGTTGCAGTAAGGTACAAAACCTACCCACCTACATTCACAGGTTGCGAGTGCCATTTTCTGAACTTGCAGATGTCACTTGGTCTGGAAATCAGCCGGTGCCAAGAGAGGGGCTTAAGTTTTGCCGTGGAACTTGCTTTGGTGCACAAGCCTTGCAGTGCAATCTTGTTCAAAGGTCATCCTGGGATGCACGTTCAAGGGCCAACAGAGCCAAGGCTGCATGCAAACCAGTGTTCTGTTTATCTTGGCGATGTCCAGGCAAAGCGTCAGACTAGGCATGGTTGGAGGCGCTCGCTAATACGGCTCCTGAGAGAGCTGTACCCCACACAGAACCGCCTGTGCACCAGGCTTATCAAGCACGTACCACCAGGTGGTGATCATTCAAAGCATAGGTTTTCGCGGCCTAGCCAAGTTAGCAGAGCCTCTCCCATCGCAAGTTGAGTAAGTTGGGTGCTTCCGCCGGATTCCGGTCGAGGTTCTTCCGTCAGCAGCTGAGCATCGGAGTCTTTGAGATCCACCGACGTCGAGAAGCGCGGGGCTCGGATGGCGCACATCTGGGGATTGTCTTGAAAGTACATGGGCCTCGGTGTCCATTTGGTTTTCCTTTGAAACCAACCAAAAACGGGGTAAAAACAGCATCAAAAACCTGTCCAACCCTAGGTATTAAAGAATGGAAGCCAGAAGTAAACAACAGCTTCAATGGTAGGACCAAACAAAAACCAAGCAGTGCTGCTGATTCGTCTACGGGTAGTGAGAGGCAACCTATATATATATATATACATATACATACGTGCACGCACGGGTACGTGTATATGCAGGAAGTCAGCTGAGAAGCCCAATGTTTGATCTTCCGGTTTCCGTGATTCTTCGTCTTGGTGTCCAATGAGGAGCAAGCGAAAAGGATCCTCGTTGGTCCGTGGCTTGGCAATTGAGCAAAATCCTAAGCGCCGTCAGATAGCCAGTGGTGTAGGACCAAGGCCACTTTTCGCTGGAAAAATCAGACTAAACGGAAGCTGGGGAATGGGGTGGTTTGGAGATGACCATGTTGACAAGCTTGTGACAAGGCGAGCGACCCCTGTGACAGTTCCTGAAGCCTTCTTGATCTTCGCGTGATTTAAACAAAGGCGAGTAACAATCTAATGTTGGCACACCTAGACATGTGATTTGGTGTTGTCTGCCTAAGGATTGGCAAATTGGCTTGGATTGGTTGGACTGATTTGGATTGGTTTGGATTGGTTTGAGTGTGTGAAAGAAGTCGTATCCCTTATCGTATTTGCGATGCAACTTCTCAAACTTAGCAATGCCTGCGTCCAAAACCGTCCGTGTCCAAGACCAAGCTAGGTTTGCAGCTTAGGGTCGACGTGTTTTCTTTCAACTAGTTAGGCTTGCTGGTTGTACCCATGGAAAGTGTTGCCCTTCCGCAAGCAACACTTATTCCAGTGCACAGACCACTCGAGAACAAGCCTTCACTTTGCGGCCATTTGTGCCTGGGCGTTTCTTCTGGTGGGAGAGTAACACATTGGCAGCGCTCGGGGGCGCGTGAGCATGGCTCCACCTCAAGTGCCGAAGGACACAGACGCCTTATCCGTTTTGTTGGGCTTCCTGCGTGTGAGGAAAAATGCCGGGTGGTTCCACGAACGCGTTTTCGCCAGCTGAAACCATGCAAATTGTATGATGGTGTGCATGCCATTGTGCTGGTTCATGTTTGCCTGCCAGGCCTGCCTCCTTAAGCCATGCCTGCCTTCCGGCCTGTTTAGCAAATGCCCATTGACAGACTTGATACGTCAAGAATGATCCCAGCGACTGCCCTGCAAGACTTCCCTGTGGGAGCTGATCAAACACTAGTCTCACTTTCCTGCCAACATTTCTTGACCAAAGCTCACGGTGGCTTGAGCTCTGAGGCGTCCGCCCGCACCTCGACGCAGCAGCGGTTCCAGGAGGGGGAGCATTTGTGGGCGAAGGGGGCGGCATTCGCTTGGATTTACCTTTTTCACACCCCCCCTTGTTGGGAAAATAAGGGAAACTATGTGTGGTTTGTTTCTACCTCTTTTTACCTTTTGGAAATGAACGGAACCTCCTCAAGTTAGAAACTACGTGCAATTGCTCCGGTTGAAGCACAATCCACAACGAACAGCTGGCAGATCTGCACGGACAAGTTCGCATTGGACCTGCGGCTTGGATATGACATTTGCTTGGCATGGGCCAGTCCTACCTCGGCGACCAGGTTGCACGGATGTGGCAGAGGCCCCAAGCAGCAGGCACCAAGCTTCGGAGAAGAGACATTTTTTTGCCAGGGCTAGAGCTTCTAGTGAAGCTGTACAGAACATCAGACTATTGGAGGGCTCATCACTGAGTTTACCTGATACATACATGTGTATATATATATATATACATAATTATACAGAATATGTCACACGCACCGGTTGTGAATGTTGTGATCAACCCTGGAAGTTGTTCGATGACCGATGTGCGGGTTCTATCCACAAATGGAAGCTTGAGACTGGCTCTGCCGTGGTTTGTGGTTTGCCCAAGTCAAGCGATGAAGCCGGGGCCTAAGTCTTTGTTCTTCTCGCCTCGGCGAAAACGAGCAAGAACATTTGGCTGGCTGCTTGCACACCAACCCCCAGAGGCAACCAACAAATTGTCCGAAGGGGGCGCTGGATTGGCCCCTTTCCGGCACAGGAGGCTCAATCCGGCATCCTTTTCTCCTCCGATGCCCGAGGCTCAGTGGCACTCACCTTTGGAGCAGAGGATTCGACTTACGGCTGGTGTTTTTTGGTGTTTTTTTGGTGTGGAACCTGAAGGGAGAACCGGATCTGGGAACATGGCAAAGTTTCAGGAGGCTAGTCTTGGAACACTCTGGGCTGGGGCGTCTTTGGCGGAGTAATGTCCGCGGTGAGAACTGTGTCAGGTTTCGGCACGGGGCTTGGACTATCCCAACGTCACCATGGTGCGGGCCCGTAGCTGGCAGAACTTGGCTGTTGAGCAAGCCACAGGTAGCAAGCTCTGGGGTCCAGCCCAGAAGTCAGCGATATGGGGTAGTTTGGGGCCACTTTCAGAGAGGGTTCCAAAGAGTTCCTTTTGGGGGTTCCGGGGCTGTTGGGGATACCACCTGGGCTTATTTTTGTTTGCACTTGGTGGTTTGTCAAAGGCTTATTTAAGTATCCCTTTTGGAGAGGGGCCACTCCAGGGGTGAATTGCACCACAAGACCAGAGCGACGTCCGTAGTCCGAAGAAATAGTCCGTAGTTGGACCCCCGAAGAATGGAGAGAAGCCACACAAAAGGGAGGGAGTAGAAGCACATAGTCCAAGGGGCCAACAGCAACATATGAACACGCGTCGTCCTGCAATGTACTGTGGTTCAGAATTGGTTTGTTGCCACGCAATTCTACTATGGACAGCTGGTGGATAATCCCTAATCGCGAGTGGACGTTGAGAGGATGCGATACCCTCATTTCAAAGCACCTAAAGCCCCCTGCAATTGATATCGCATGCTCACACGCGAACTGCAGGTTGTGCAGTTCGGAGCGCCAGCGACTCGAGAAATGTATCTTGGCAAGAGCTGTGCGATCCTCCTGCCCCTTGCAGTACAGAACCTTTCAAGAGTAGGGGATAGTGGATGCTACGGAGCCCATGGTGTCAACTTCCCCTAAAGCAATATACACTAGGATGGATGTGCTTGTAGCTTATCACCCAGGACGGTATTGGCGACCAATGGCGACCATGCTTCATGAGGTGCAAAGAACAAGCCAACAAATACACCAATCAAGTCCGGGTGAGGCATCAAACAAAGGTAGTGAGCAAAAACACACTTATTGTTAAAGTTCAAGGAAGCACTTCTGCGGCATCAAACGCAACTTACTGGGCACGATGTGCTGCAAAGCAATGTAAAAAGACAGGCAACTACGGCATCAACAACAACTGATGAGGCATCAAAAACAAACTTGTCGGGCATGGCTGGGAAAAGGGTGTGTTTACTGCGGGTTGGTTTAGGGTTGTCCTGCTTAGGGCGGGCTTAGTTTCATGTGGTTTTTGGGCAGGTTTGGGGTGGGTTAGGGTGGGTGCATCAAGCACAAACAACCGCATCAGGCCTTCCTTTCTCACTTCTTCCCTTCCTTCCTTTCCTGCCTGTCCTTCCTTTCCTTGCTTTCCTTCCCCTGCTTTTCCTGCCTGTCCTGCCTGTCCTTCCTTTCCTTCCTTTCCTTGCTTTCCTTCCTTTCCTTCCTTTCCTTCCTTTCCTTCCTTTCCTTCCTTTCCTTCCTTTGCCTCCTTTCCCTGTCTCCCTCCCTCCTTCCTTCCTTCCTTCCTTCTTTTCCTTTCTTCCTTCCTTCATTTCTTCCCTCATTCCTTCCTTCTTCGCAGTTGTCTTGGGAATGGCAAGAAGTTGATGCTTATTATTTTGCTTGATGCTTAATAAGCTCTTTTTGAAAGCTATCACAACAACACCTATGGTATGTTGCCTTTTGGCTTTAAACAGGCTTTGCAAAAGGGGAGGAAGAGAATAGCTGCTTATTTGCGCATGTACCGCAGTGATGCTTGCTTGTGGGCTGGAACTAAATATGATTGTGTCAACGGGCGAGGACCTGTGGGGAATGGTTTCAAGAGGCAACCAGCTCTAGGATCAGCCCCTTCTTGACAGGTCCTGCTACTGTAAATGTGATAGAACAAATGGAAAGTAACGTCGGGCACACTGGTGTCTCAAATCAAGTTTGTATTACCTGTTTATAATGCTGACACCTGGTATTGTGTCTTGCTCACCTCCCAAGGTACATCCATCGTGTGGGTCGCACAGCACGTGCTGGCAAGACAGGTGAAGCAGTGCGCCACCCAGTGAGGGATCATTTGGCCAAGAGTTGTTGGGAACCCTGGGAATAAATGTCCTCGCTGAGTAGGAGAGAAGTGGTCCGTCCAGACAGCATATGTCATGGATGGTCCTCCAGGTTGAATCGTGCAGGGCTTTGGCGTCAAGCCGCTTTGTGAGAAAAGGCAACGTGCCAGTGGAGCAAACAGCGTGCTGCATTGCGCATGTTTCTGAACGCCAAGGTTCTCATCTTGGGAGAGTTGGAGCGAGCTTTCCTGGCTGCGGTGAAGGATGCAATCTGTGATTCCGCATCCGATTGAACGGACGGTAGCATGATAGCGGTTTAACTGCGATGGGCCAAAATTGGTTTAAACACGCAGACTCCCATTTTTAAAGAGAAACAAAAAGGCGGCAGTTTGAACAATTGCAGAGGTTGGCTCAACCCTCACATCGACATCATCGGTCAATGTAGTATGTGAGCTATGATGCCATTCCAACTATCAGTTGAGAGTGTAATCATTCGCATCGCCCCTCTTTGCTACAGAGTGTCAATTGGAATGGACATAGCGGACAAGACGTCCACCCTTTGGCTCTGCTCCTTGTGTAGATCTTGTGTAGATGGGCCCCTGGGCCTAGACTCCTGGACAGGCTCAAACTGGCCGTTAGGGAGCCAAACTCAAGACAGAGCCTCCAGGTTAGGGGGCAAGAAGTGGCCTTTCAAAGGTTCTTCAAATACAAGGAACGCCAACCAGCACTTCCCCAGCCGAGACCAAACCGGGCGAGGGGTGCAGTGGGTCCAGGACTTGCCCATCACTCAGCACAAGAAAGCGGGGGAGCTGCAGCGGGTGAATGAGCTGCCGGGGGGCCCCGGGGGCCAAGGGCCGATCGGAGCACAGCGGAAGGCTGCCGCCAGCTTGGGTCTGTCTCAACCGAAGGGGCCCCATGTTGGAAAGATTTCAATTGGAGGGAAACGAAAGGGAAATCTGAGAACTGAGAACCGTCCATTCTGGGTGAGCACCTACGGAAGCGGATTGGGAAGGAAAGCGGCTGGGAAGGGCTGCGCACAACAGCAGCCACCATCATGTTGAAAACTGCTACCACCAAACGCATGACTCGGTACATGGCTGCTGTGAGAGAATGTGTTTATACGTCCGGACGTGTCTGAAAATCGGAGCCTCGCCCAAGATCGATGTTCCATGGGTTCCCCTTCCAACAAGTTCTTCATAGGGAGATGTTTCAAATGGGTGTTTCAGGTTCGCTTTTAGTTGTCTTCTTGCACCCCAGTATTCTGTCACTCATTCTGAAGGATTCAGAAATAAACAATTCTACAAGAATTCCCTGAGTGTCCGGCTTGGACCAGTACTGGGGTGGGGCGTCCCTGACGTCAGAGACGATTGCTGGTGTCTTGCGCGGTCAAAAGAAGTCGCCACTGCTTTGCCTGAGCACACCGCCCAGGCTGGTAAAGGCACGGCCTGCGAGCCTGCGAGTCGAAGCCAGAGTCCATGCACCGTTTCTTAAGCTTTGAGGATCACGCTTGTTGGCTGCTGCTGCTGCTGCTGCTGCTGCTGCTGCTGCTGCTGCTGCTGCTGCTGCTGCTGCTGCTGCTGCTGCTGCTGCTGCTGCTGCTGCTGCTGCTGCTGCTTGCTGCTGCTGCTGCTGTCTTGTCCTTATAGTCATGATCTCTTCAAGCTCTGCATGATTTGTGATAGTATTTCAACAACCTCATGGTTGCCTCTGCAACACTATAGGATACACAAACTGTTTCAGTCCCTGAGGATGGGACAAGCCCGCGCAACCTGTGTTTACCTCCATAACTCAAAGATGTTGTGCAAGTGCCTTGCGGCAGGGATGGAACTGCCGGACTGAGTACGCCTGGTGGGTTGTCAGATGTCATGACCAGGATGATTTCTCATCATGCGGAGCTCTAAACACGGGATCTGGAAAAGTTGCTTTCCTTTCAGGCTTCCCTTTCAAGACATGCAGGATGGGTGCTAAGCCATTTAGAAACCAATGCTTTGAGTGGTGGGTTTTTGGGGGATTCCCACAATTGTGGTTCAGTCCAAACACAACAAACTTACTAAACTGGAGAAATTTGGAGATATCTGAAGACAAACAATTCTTCATGTGCCAGTTTTTGAGCAGCCTGTAAGGCCTCCCAGTTGCAAACCAAGAAAATCATGCCCGAAAGGCATCCTAGTTGCAATGCCAAGAAAAGCATGCCTGAAGGCCTTCCATTTGCAAAAGCAAAGAAACTCGAGGAAAGAACAACAACAAACAAGTGTTGAGAAAAATGGGTTGGTCATTCCCAATACCCTTTTTTTTGGGAGGGGGGACTTGCTCGTTTTTTGTTGTTTGTTTTCCTCCAGGTTTGCTGTGCTTTTCAGATCGACCCCTTGTCCTTGCAGATCTCTCGCAAGAGCTTTCTCCAGGCATCGGATGCCACTACGTCCCTTATATATATTCAGACACCAAAAAGCAGTGTGTTTACCGTCCCTTATCTTCGCACACTCACAACAGTGTGGTCACCCCGCATTTCGCAGGTGTAATGCATGTATGGAGGCCAGTCGCATTTGTTTATGTCCCGCCATTCTTCTCTTTATCTTGGTATCTGAATGAACTATTAATGTGATTTAGGGATGAGTTCGAGATGGCATGGGAAGGAGAGGAGATTCCAGAAGTGAATCAGTTATTCATTGTCTTATGTCATCAGTCATCCTATTCCCTTCTTTCCTTAGCAAATAGAGGCTTGGAAGGCAATTGTTAGTTGTCATCTCTTATCAGTCCCTCACTTCCACTCCTCTATAGGGAGTGAGGAAGGAGGATAGAATAGGATAAAGAGATGAAAGACAGAACGACCAGGCATATGGATTTACCTTTTATTCTATTCATAACGTGTTAATGTTATTAAAACGTCTCCAAGGCCATCATGGGAAATGGAGACAGTCTATAGAAGAACGAAAGAGTCGCAAGACGCTGCGACAGAAACAGATGCAGTGCTGGAGTTATTTTCAAGACCCGACAGTTGCTTGCTTTCCATCAAGAACATTTTACGCATAATTTGCACCCACTCAGGGCTCAAGCCATTAGCCCCCGTGTAGATTATACAGGAAACTACCAAGGCGCCCGCTACCTTCGATTTTTGAGACCTCCGCATGAGTTCTCAAAATTCGTGGACCCCATTGCGCTTAGGGTTTCCCAAAGTCAGCCAACAGGGGAAAGATCCCCATGAACATAATGTTTGCCAAAGAGGGGCCCCGATTGAGCGCCCAAAACTGTTGGCCTTTAAAAGCGGCTCCTGCTCAAATCGGGAGAATAGAAAGGCTCATAAGAACCAATACAACCCTGTTGGTACCAAAACTAAGCACCCATGGCTCACTTATACCAAAAGTAAGTGGTACCAGTACAACTGTGTTTTGGGGGCGGGCTCCTGCTTAATAATAGAAAGGCCCATATAAACCAGTACAACTGTGTTGTTGGTACCAACAGTACATGGGTTTTGGGCGGCTTACTTAAAATTCAAGGCCATTTTCGATTCCGAGCCAGGCCACCACCAGCTGGCTGGCCAACGCGCCCTTGCGCACCGCCGCCTCCGCTTCCTTTGCCTCGCTGCTGGTGCATTACAAGGCCCTCTGCTGGCGGATCGCAGCGAATGCTTGGTGAAAGGTCCTTCACATGGGATGACCATTGAGTAAAACCACTAAAGTGAGGATATGTTTCACTGAAGGGGAAAGGTTATGCATGGTCATTTGGGGGTCAGGAATATTGATCAACCCCCAGATCTTAAATGCACACACGGAAACTCAGGGTTCTGTTGAGGAAGCGCCTTTAAACACACCAAAAACAGGGCTCCCTTCAGTTTTTCACCCTTACGTCTCTGGTTGTGGAGGGGAAATCAAATCAGAGCTCTCTTTGGGAAGCACCCGTCTCTGGTTGCGGAGGGGAAACAACAAGGGCTGGAGGTCTTTGGTTTTTAACCCCCTGTTTGGCACTCAGATGTGCACCTTTTGCACCCGTTTGCCATGGTGCAATCGGTGCCAGTTCCATGTGCTAGCCTCATGTGGTAAAATATGCTGGAGTCTGTAAAAGCGACCACTAAAACCTGGACTTCCAGCCCTCCACTATTCGCTGAGTGAACGGCGTTCATGGATGCTCCTGGATGGATGTATCCTTAGCACCCTCGAAAATGTGTATTGCCTTTTTGGCGGAGATTAGTCTTTCCAGCTGCCCCTCACACTCGTGGAGCTTGTTATTCTTGGCGGAGATGAGAACACCTTGTTGTGCGAAAGCATGAATGCTATTGATGCATGTGCACCCTGGTTACTTGGCTTGACATGGCTGTCAACAGTGTCAACAGTGGTCGGCGCTGTGTAACGGAACACACGGAGTGCCTATGAAGAGAGCCAAGATCACTTCCCCGCCCCCGCTGCCTCCCCCCTAACCATGCGGAAAGCCAGTTAGCTTGTGTGGAGTGATTTTCTCTGAGCGGGCAGGCCACCCACCGGGTGCTCCACATGCAAGAGGACGACGTGATTCAGGCAAAGGGGGAAGGGCATCATCCGCTTCTGTTGGTTAGGATCCACTCACATTAGTGCAGATGGCGCAGAAAAGGTAGATCATGCCGGGGGGGGTGGCTGAACATAGATACTATGGTTTTCCAGGAGAAAACCAAATGGAGGTATTATCAATAGTTGTTTTTTGTTCTGCCCCGAAACGCGCCATCAAAAACGCGTGTGTGCCTGCAAAGAAGAAAGCCGGGAGGCTCACAAGTCTTAAGTTGATTCCTTAAAATTCAGGCCCTGGAATCCAGTCCTTTTTTCTTGTCCGTAAGCCCTGCATTGTGTCGCAGGGAAGAAAGTGTGTATGCTGGGCGTGCCCATGGCTTTCGCCCAAGACTTCGCGGCGGGTTCGTGCCAGCCATGTTCGGGTGGCTCTTGGATATTGTGAAGGATGTTGGTAGCTTTGTCGTGATGGTCGGCCGACTCCTTGGGTGGCAAGAAGTCAAAAAGCAGACAATAGCGCCTACTGTTGCTCCGAGTTCGACAAAGCCTCGCCCCTTCATAGCCATGGAAGCAACTAAAGACGTTGACGATCCATTTGCTGAACTTGTCGGCATGGAATTTCAGCAGGAGATGCTAAAGGTGGTCGTCGCGATGCAGGAAATATAGGCGCACTGTGGAAATGAGTATGCGAAGCGAGAAGCGACAGCGCATTGCTTTCCTGCTGTTTACAGGAGCTATAGGCACGGGGAAGACATCTCATGCAACGGCTTTTGCTTGTCTCTTGAACATTCCTTGTGTGTGCATTAATCCTGGGTCTGCAACGTTCGTAGATTCTCAGGGGATGTCGACAATGCATCACGTGCTCGAATATTGCGTGGAGCGCAAATCATGTTTGATTTTACTGGATGAAATAGACGTGTATGCCAGTGAGACAGCATTCATGGCGGAGATCAGGCAAATTGTCGATGGAGCTTGCCGTATACCCCCGGATGCTCTCCTGGTGATTGTGGGGACGACGAACAAAGATCCCGGAGCTCTGCCGCACGATTTGCTTGATCGTGTGCTTGTAGAGGTGCCATTCACACCATGCCCCAAGGTCATGCCAAGACTTTACAAAGGGCAGGTTTTTTTCAGCCGAGAGCAGTGCAATGCTTTCTGGGATCGGAATGCAAGGTGCTTGACAACTTTCGAGCGTATCCGATTGGCCACAGATTCCGAAGGTTGCACACCTCGTCAATTGCAGATGTGGGCACAGAAGGCTCTGATTCTCGCGTGTCATGAAGCCAGAGCCTTTTTCGGCCGGCATGCTAGCACCATCAAATTTCAGGAAGTCAAGCGGTATGAACAACCTGTCACGCTAAAAGCCAGCTTTTGCAGCGGATGCTTGCGCCAGTTCCAGCAAGACATAAGCAAGGACGATGATCCAACGACGTCGCAGCGGCTTCTACGCCAATATGAGGTTGATGGTGTCAAGCCAAGGTACGAACACTTTCACGCAGCTGGTAGAGATTTTAGGAACCGGCTGCCCGCTTCCCGCTTGTGAAGCAACATGATCACCAATATGAAGAGTAAGCGGTGGCAAAGGCCCTGCGGAAATGCGCCAGCATGTGCCGCCCAAGTATTGGAATATGTAGGCTGCTAAGGTAGCAGAGAAGCATGTTTCAGAAGTGTTGGGTTTCATGCAGATTGCTAAGTAAGGTTGAATGGTAAGTTGCACGGATGCGGCCGGGATTCTTGAATGATGTTTTCTGAAAGGGTTCTCCCGCGGATTATTGCGCGAGTGGCTTCTCGTGAGGGGGAAGGCATGCACTACCGACAAGGGTAAGGATTGAGCGTGTGGCTTTGGTAGGTTGTACGAATTGGGTTCTATTCTGGTTTGTGTTGAAGATTGTGGGAGATTCCTTTGGTTTTGGTGTGTTTGCAGGCTTGGCTTTGGGTGCTGATTGAGAATTGGTGCAAAGGGCTACGCTTGCAAGGAGTCCTTCAGCACTTCAGAGGAATGATCTAGTTTGTTTCTTGAGGTCACTGGTCAGCGGCGACCCCACTCGAGTTCCCGCAGCGCAGGCAGCCAGCGATCTACTGCTTGGCGGGGGAGCCCTGAAATGAGGCTTGCCAGGCACCTGGGCCTCCCGGTTTTGACATGGAACCTGGAAGGCCGCCTGCTTCTTGCCATGGTGAAATTTCTGCCAGAGAAAAGGAGAAGGGTCAAGGGGATGGATGAGTTGTATCGGAATTCAATGGCCTTGTTCCACGTCTCAACAATGAGGGAACTTCCAAGAAGGGTGGTTCCCTTGTTCCCTTCAAGTCACTTTCAATCAACTCTTAAAAAGGGTACCCGCAAACAAGACACCCAATTCGGGGTTTCTCAAAAAATGGCAGACCCCTTTTTGGAGGGTTCTAAAAAAGGTTCCCAATTTTGAGAAACAACCATATATTCCATTCCGACTCCACGGGTTTTTTCCCGCAAGGTTGTGGCCTGGTGGATCAGCCGGTGATCTCAAAGCGCCTCGCGGTGATGCCCAGACCTCAGAGCTTCCGGCGCGGGTTCTTGGCTTGGGCTTTGGTTCGTTTAGGTCGCGTTTGGGTCTTTTGGGGTGGGCAGAACCGGGAGCCACCAGCAGTTGGAACCAGGGCTTCTCATGGGTACCTTGCTTGGTTGCCATTTTGATACCGTGACATGAGTATCCGACCAAAACATCGGCAGTCTTCGGGGTGCCTTGGGGTTAGCAAAGTTGGACCCCCCCCTTCAACCTCAAAACACTGGAAACCGAATAAGGACCCAAGCCCAAATGGGAACTTTGATCACCCCCGCATGGAACGTATGGCTCGCTCAGGCTGGGCATCGAGAAGAACCCCTTGATCCAGTGCGCCTCGCGACTGGGGGACCAGGATGAGCTGATGCTCGAGGAAGCGAAATCCGGACAAACCCGGCAGACTCGATGTGGGTCTGTTTGAGGGGACCCATTTAGTAGGGTACCCTATGTTGTGGTTAAAGGGAAGCCCAACATGTGTGGGGGAGGCTGAAATGTTTTTTTGTAAATGCATGCAGGTACGTGGATTCCCATTTTCGCCGCATGTCCTCGCAGGTCGCCTGAGGCATTCATTTCACAGGTATACCATTCGTCCCTTCCGACCCGAAATCTCAATCATTCAATTCAATGTTTGAAGTGAGGTAGCCCACGCTTTTTAGGCAGGAACTCTTTGCACAGTGGTACGCTTTGGGGGGCTTCGAGTGTCATGAGATGACACAATGTCAAATATGTTAGGCCATGCAATGGTGAAACAAAAGTTTCTTTGAGGTGTGTGCTACTTGAAGTTTTAGCAACCCCAGCAAGGTAGAAAGTGTGTTCTCTCCTGCGGCTTTGAAACAAACTTACATGACCTGTGCGGTGAAGAGAAGACAGCTGCGTGTTGGATTCCATGGAAATTGTCAGAAGCGCAAGGATACCAAAAGAAATTAGATATAGGATGCTGGACCAAAGATCAGATTGGGAAAGCGACATGTGAATTATCCCCCTTTCTTTGCACAGATTGCACCAGGCGGCTCATGACATGGACAACCACAGGCCATCAGCCTGATGTTGAACACATACCCTGTTGTCTTCAGTTGCAAGTTGGGCAAGTTCCAAGCTTGAGTCGAGACTCCCCGACATCGCAGGAAGAAGACGTGACTAGAGCAAAGCGCTCGTGGCGCGGCTGACGCGCCAAAAGAAAAATCGCAAGCCGAAGCATCCCCTGGCACTCAGGGGGCAGAAGCCTAGAGTTTTACGTGTGCAACATGCAGCCTAGCTGTCGTGTTTGTTTGATCTTTATTATGAAGGCTCACATGAACAGTACGCTCCAATAGCCGGGGGAAGAAGTTGTATTTATTGTTCAAAAGCAATCCATGTCAAGGGGAAGATGTGATGATCATTTGACATCGCTGCCAGAGTGTGACTTTGCTGCCTGAGAATTGGATCAATTGCACGACAGAGAGGATCAGGACATCCCTCAACACAGTCATGGCACTCATGGCACCCAGGTCACAACTAGCACTCATGGCACCTCTTGCCGCAAGTTGCTTCAAAAACATGAGCTGGGAGCGTTGCCAAGGGCTTGCTGGCTCACCCGAAAAGTTGCGTGTCACAGTCTCAGGCCTCAGGTTTTTGTCACTTGGGAGCCATGCCGATGCTCATAGAAGAATTGGACGAGGAGATGGTGGGAAGTGGATGAGGCGTCTGGATTTGAGTGTTTCAAGCGGGGAGCTCAACTAGTTGCTTTTCGGTTGATGACACCCCCAGGGTCTGATGGCAGCGAATCCATAGGCTGATCGAAAGGCAGTGCACGTGTGTGTGTGTGTGTGTGTGTGTGTTCATGATGGCCATGCGAGGTGTGCCATTACAGTCAGTTGACATACTCGGATATCAGTCGGGAACCAGTTGCGCTTCTCTTGATTTATCTGCAAACTGTGGGGGTGTATTTGCAATGTGTGGGAAATCCAACAAGACTGGCAAGAATCTCATTGTGTGGATCGCGAACTTAGCGATGATTTGGGGTCAGAAAGTATGGCTAAAAGGTAGTCATGTATGGCACAAAATACCAGACTCACTTTGTTCGCCGCGAGAATACTGTGCCTAATATTTGACACTCGCAAATTTCATCAAGACGTCTTTTCGACAACCAGACAGATTGGGCGATCCCTCTTTTGTGTTCAACCAAATAGGTGACTGTCCCAACCACTTTTATCGATCCTGGCAAAAGGCCTCAGGAAAGACTGCAGTGAGGTAGCCCTGGCTTCCGGTCGAGAGCGCCGAGCCAATTTGAGGAGCCCGGGGGCACTGCCTACACTTTTCACCACCTGGCAGATGCGAAGCGGGGGCCAAAGGAGCTCTCTTTCTGCTGAGAGCAAAGGCAGGCAAGGTCCCATTTTTTCAGGGTGTAGTCGTTCCCCACATTTTCAGGCCTCTTGTAGACGGGCAACTGAGGGAAGAAACTCATTTCGGTGCTTGCAGGTTGCCCCTGTTCTCAAAAGTTCCCCAGAGTTGTACCGTGAAGGTCTCTTGGTAGTTTTGAAGGGCTAAATGGGTGGTATACAGGGTGCAAATTCAAGTGTCCGGTCTTGAGGGCTCTAGTCTGGAACCCCGAATGTTCGTTGGGAAGTGTCCGAAGCTAGAAGTGAACAAAAAGGGGCAATGTGATTGGACTCCTCCACACATGGGTGGTTTCCTGTTGGCTGCTTTTGAAAAACAGTTTTGTTCTGGCGTCTCGGGCCTAACTTTCTTCATGTTGGCTGTGGGATCTTGTCATCAGTTCAGAGCTGCTTTGTTGTGCAGGGGCTCCAAGTCCAGTCAAGAATAAATCCGTGCGGCAAACTGTTTGGGGTGCAAGATTCTTCGCGCGCTTCTGAATCACTGTACTTCCGCATATGTCCTAAGCATGATTCACAAGCTTTATATATATATATATATGTATATGTGTATATATATATATATATGTATATATATATATAACCGATTATTATATATATATATATCCAAATGCATGCTTGCTTTGGCATGTAAAGCCTTGCCAGTGCTCCAGCGGTATCCGGAGGTTCTTCTCCTTCCAGTCCGCAGAGATCCAGCCCTACTTTGAGAAGTGGGGCTTTGGCCCGGACATGGCGCGGGTTGAGACTCGCGAGTTGGGCCCGAACCGGCCGGACATCGTCTGATTGAAATGCCAAAGGCCTTGAGGGAAGACTCGGAGCGAAACAATCTCTGAGCTCGGCAACGAACCCCCAGTTGAAACCTTTGGGAACCTATCCAATAGTGTTCAGCCGCCGAGTGAGAGTCCTGGGGATACGACCCGAGTAGCAGGGCTTGTCCTTGACAACCAGATCATGTGCGCTGGTTCGTGGAAGGTGTGCAAGCCCAAACCAAGGGAACGACGGCAAGCCTTGTGTGGATGTCATTCCATGTGCTAGCATATGTAGCCGCATATGCAGAGAACAGGTGGACCCAAAATGAAGTCGTGCTAAAAGCGTGCTGAAAGAAGCGAGCAACAGGTGAACTTCACAGGATTCGGCATCGAATTGTTGGAGTTGGGGCTTGGGATAAGGTTCTTGGGTTCTGGATTCCCTTGATATTCCCCTTTTGGTGCGGTTAAACCTCCGTGGGGTGTTCACTCAAAGTGGCTTTCCTTTTGCGATGACCCAACGTCAGTGAGGCGCCGCGAGAGGAAGCATGTTGTATCAAACACTCATAAATCACTGATAAATAAACAGCTATACATACATATATATATACAAAATCAGGCCGCCCCCATTGACCTTGAGCCATTGCAACAGCACCCAAAAGGTAGTTCATGGGGGGCCTGCGCATATATATATATATATATATATATATAATATTCATGTATATATATATACAATACATGGATCAAACAAGTGGTGCCCCTTGGTGTGGTCCATGTCCACTTGCTTGCCTTTTTTCCTGTGCATGATATTGACCCGGAAGATTTGGCAGTGTGAACGTCAATATCCCACTTGCTTTGTAGTTCCAGTTTGCTTCAACGAGGGCATGCCCAAAGATATCCAAATTGGACTGGTGCAGGCCATGTGCACCTTCAGAGTGGAGCAGAAGGCGGGACTTCGCTTGAGACGGTCTTTCTCAGTCCACAACTCCATGATGTGCAGGGAAGCAAGTGTGCCTGGACGTCCTGTTTTTCTTTTCTTTTTCTTTTATGACATGCAGTTGTCCGACGGGAAGCAGTGCTACCATCGTTCGAGCTTTGGACGCCCCAAAAAAGCAGAACACATGCAGCCTAACGATGCAGGTGAATCGCGAGACGTTTCAGGACATGTTGGATGCTTTCTTCAAAGACAGGCTGGCGATGGAGTTGCTGGCCCGCACAGAAATGGCACATGCTTGGCAACCTTGGACGCTCTTTTGGGAAGCGCACGCTTCCACGAAAGGTAACCTTTTTCGGTTCCGATTCTTTGCACCCACTTTGACCGCCGCTTGGCACCTGCCTTACGACGCCAGGGAAGTGCTACACGTGCTCCAGTCGATGACTAGCGCCCGGGTGCATGGGCCTCAGCGTGTCGCCTGGGAGCCAGTGGAAGCATTTCTTTTAGGAAGAACGTGAGCTTGAGAAGTGCCTGTTTTGCTGGACAACCACTCTGGAGCAAAATAATGGATGGGGAATGATCTCTCGCATATTTCAAATTTAGGCCTCCCATCAACTTGTGGCTTCATGTTTGGCCTCGGCCCTTGGCTATGCCGAACTTTCAGCGGGAGCTTCGCAAAAAATCAGAGAGCTTGTGAAGAGTTGCGTGGGTTGCTGGCTTCGCCCGCTATTCGGCGAGTCGAGCAAATGCTGAGTCCAGTATGCGGGCGACAGCATCAAGGGAGAGAGGAGTAGCCAGAAGGAAGCCAAGCCCAGGGTCTTGAGTCACAGCCACTTTTCAATTGGTTAGATGAAATCATGCCCAAACTATGGTAAGCGCTTTGGAGCCCGGAGTTGGTTGCCGCTTGACAGATTTGAGTATTGCAGGGCGCCCGTTGGTGATCCCTATGGGGTGTCTATATATTATATATCGTTTCAAAGGGGATCGAAAGACATGTAAAATTGCACCCCAGCCGCAAAAGCGCTCTGCTTTAGCAATCAAAGCCTAAGCGAAGCTCCCCACATCTGGCTGGGTGGCTACTGTAACTGTAGTTGTTTGCCACTGTTGAATTGGAAGAAGCGAGCGGGTTGATCTGAGTGCTCAGGTTTAGCCCGTCGAAGGTGTCGGTCAGATGGCAGGAGATGAGCACCAAGGCTGGGAAGTTGGATTGGTTGGCTTGATTTGGTGGATAGCTGGCTCACCTTGCACATTAATTCGGAAAGGAAGTTCAGAAGGAAGTGTGCGTATCTCCGTCGCTAATTAAAGGTTGCTTTGGGCAAAGATAAGGAGAAAAAATGAATGCACTGGAGAAACATGTGTGGGTGTGTGGCCGGGAGTAGAAGAAGAGGAACAGCGACCTTTTGTTGGATTTAGCCTGTCCGGCTCCTCTCGAAACAGCGTCGGCCAACATAGCATGACTCATGGAGTCGCATTGCAGCTGGACTTTTTCAGATCAGGTGAAAGCGCGTCAGATTTTGCAGCTGGTTGCTTGTAGCTGTGAGCGCAAGTATGTTTGGGTTGTTTGTGGCGCTGTTGGTTGTGCGTGTGGTCGTGTGGTCGTGTGGTCGTGTGGTGGTGTGGTGGTGTGGTGGTGTGGTGGTGTGGTGGTGTGGCCGTGAATGTGTGTTTGTGTGGTTGTGTGCTTGTGTGCTTGTGTGTTTGTGTGCGTGTGTGTTTGTGTGTTTGTGTGTTTGTGTGTTTGTGTGTTTGTGTTGTGTGTTTCTGTGTTTGTGTGTTTGTGTGTTTGTGTGTTTATGTTTGTGTGGTTGTGTGGTTGTGTGTTTGTGTGTTCGTGTGTTTGTGTGGTTGTGTGGTTGTGTGGTTGTGTGGTTGTGTGGTTGTGTTGTGTGGTTGTGTGGTCGTGTGGTTGTGTGTTTGTGTGTTTGTGTGTTTGTGCGGTTGTGTGCCTGTGTGCTTGTGTGCTTGTGTGCGTGTGTGCGTGTGTGGTTGTTTGTTTGTGTGGTTGTGTTGTTGTGTGGTTGTGTGGTTGTGTGGTTTTGTGCTTGTGTGTTTGTGTGTTTGTGTGCTTGTGTGCTTGTGTACATGTGCGCGTGTGTGCGTGTTTGTGTTTGTGTGTTTGTGTGTTTGTGTGGTTGTGTGGTTGTGTGTTTGTGTGTTTGTGTGGTTGTGTGTTTGTGTGTTCGTGTATTTCTGTGTTTTGTGTGTGTGCTGGTGTTGGTGTTGGTGTTGGTGTTGGTGTTGGTGTTGGTGTTGGTGTTAGTATTGGTGGTGGTGGTTGTGGTGGTGGTTGTGGTGGTGGTGTTAGTATTGGTGGTGGTGGTGGTGGTGGTGGTGGTGGTGGTGGTGGTGTTTTTGTTGGTGTTGGTGGTGTTGTTGTTGGTGGTGGTGGTGGTGGTGTGTTGTGTGTTGTGTGTTGTGTGTTGTGTGTTGTGTGTTGCGTGTTGCGTGTTGTGTGTTGTGTGTTGTGTGTTGTGTGTTGTGTGTGTGGGTTGTGTGTTGTGATGTGTTGTGTGTGTGTGTGTTGTGTGTTCTATGTTCTGTGTTCTGTGTTCTGTGTGTGTGTGGTTGTGTGTTGTGTGTGTGTGTTTCTAAATGTGTGTGTGTGTGTTGGTGTTGTGTGTTGGTGTTCTGTATTGTGTCTTGTGTGATGTGTGTTGTGTGTTGTGTGTTGTGTGTTGTGTGTTGTGTGTTGTGTGTTGTGTGTGTGTGTGTGTATGTGTGTGTGTGTGTTGGTGTTGTGTGTTGGTGGTGGTGTTGGGCTTGGTGTGGGGTGTTGTTTGAGTGTGTTTTGTGTGTGTGTGTGTTTGTGTGTTGTGTGTGTGTGTGTGTTTGTGTGTGTTTGTGGGTCGTTGTTGAGTTGTCTGTTGGTGCTGGTGATGGTGGCGCTGGTGTTGGTGGTGCTGGTGTTGGTGGTGGCAGTATGTGGCAGTGATTGCTTTGTTGTTGGCCTCAGTGATGTTTTGTTGGTCAGTTGGATTGTTGGGCTGGGACTGTGCGTGTAAAAAAAGAATCAAGGGTGTACAACTATGCATGTAAACACCGAGAGATGCATGATACACCTCTGTATTTGTTTCAGGAGGCCTACACACTGTTGCACTTGTGCGTGTGTGTTTCCGCAAGCAATGGTGGTGCCATGTTTTTTTGTGTTGCACCCGATTGCATGTTGCTGAAGCTGCCAAGGGCAGGTGCTTTGCTGTCAGGTTGTCAGCATGTCCTTCTTCAACAAGTTGGAAGAAGCTGGATGCATCAGCAGCTCAGGCCTGGCTTGGAAGCCGTCAGAAGCGCATGGCTGAAGCTCTCATTCCTATGATCGAATCACCTGGCTGCTTGGTTGCATGTTGTGATACCAATTCAGGTCGTGTTGCCATGAGGCCACATCCGGGGCCGACTGGAGGAAGATTGGGAGGATGTCCCAATCGTCGGGGCCTCAAACTTGGGCAGTGCATATGCGAAAGGACTCCGCAGCTATGGCCAAACTTGCAGGGTCTTCGTCAAATTCAATCATTCATTCTTAGGCTAGGTGGTCGCTTTTCCCCTTGTGGCATTGTTCCACTAATTCCAACATGGGCTGGACCCTTCCGATACTACCAATTTGAAAAAGTTGCCACCCCTCCCTCCCTCCCTCCAAAACAATAATTGCCCCCCTGAATTTGTCCGGCTGTCCCCCAACCCCCAAAAGATCAGAGAGGTGCAACAAAAAAACACAATTCATGCCTCCCCTTAGCCACATTTGTCCATCCATTTGGCTGGCTCATTGTGTTGCAATCGACTGTCAGTGCAACAGTATTCATGCATAGTTGTCCTGACATCCACAAAATGAGGGACCCTGAAAGTGCAAAGATTATTGTACAAGAAGGGGTTTGAGAAGATCACATGAGCTGCGCCACACGAGTGCCCACCCCGCCTCCCCAAAAAAAAAGCTCAAGGGCTCATTTGCCCCAGGCTCATGTGAGCCTTCACTTGGTCCAGGTAAGATCCAGACAACTCATTCCTCCTTTGCAAGGGTTGCTGTACACCTTGTACATGATCCTAGCTTGCAGGGAATCAAAGTCGCCCAGAGGCATCGTTGCACGGTGTGCAAGGCGTGCCTGCTTGCTTCCCACTGTCGTTGATGGGCCGCACATAGCCAAAATGACTACGCTTCCTTCCTGCCAGGAAGTGACCGTGCGTCCGTGGTCACCAACTTTAGTCACATCTTGTGGCTTGCTGCTTTTGGAAACTGATTTCTGCGGGCGTGAGAAGGCTTGGAAGGCATTGCATCCGTTGGCTTACGGCGACTGAGGTGAACCTGATTCGGGAGGCATGCCCGCTGCGAGCCATGCAAGTCAATCCAGATATATCGAGCTGCGTGTGGGCCTACCTGATCTGAACCGGTGAACTCGGCAACGGCGGGGATGCCTTGGGGTACAACTACCAAATTATCAAATTGCCATCAACAAGCCCTCATTCATATTTCCATGTGGATGAGCTGGATGATGAGCTTGACTCTGGGGTTTCCTTGCGGTGGCGATTCATAGTTCCAACCTGTTCAGGCGATCCTGATGGAGGAGAGCGAGCTTTACGACACCTTCTCCCCGGAAGACCGGCGCGAGTTCTGGACTCAGATGTACACCCTCCGTACCCGATTTCCTCCGTTTTCGTAGGCTTGAATTGGCTGGTCAGATTGGTTGCACACGGAGTTTGCTTGATGCAAAGTCGGTGCAAGTTGTTTGAGATCTGGGGATGCTCAGACTCTTTCTATCAAACCAGCAGGGAGATCTGCGAGGAGGCTGTGAACGTACCAAACATCTCCTTGGCGTTTCCATCACAGCATGGGTGATGATGTTTACCGAATTCCAATATAGCATCATTGAGGGGGTTGAGCGGCTTGGAAGCAATAGAGCATTGGCTTTGCTGCTTGCTATATCCCTTTGGAGAAGACTGTGGTTGCTTTGGTTATATGATCGTAAGTGTTTGGAAGCTTGCACAGATGGGCGCGCACGGACAAACAACTCAAACAGCTCTGACAGAAAGGGCTGAGCATCAAGCTTATCTCAAACAGTGGATTCGCAAAAAGAAAAGGCAGGGGCATGTCAGATATTGGCGTGATTGGGCGGTCCTTTGCAATGTATGTGTTTTGATGCAATCAATCAATATGTATTATGTAATTCAATGTTAGGTTACATATAAAATCTGATCTAAGCCAATATCATATTATCTTGCGTTGCGGTTAATGTATGCTCGTGTGCATGTGGATATAGATATGTCTCTATGAATATATATATATATTTATTTATTTATATGTCCATGTGCATGAATACATGAGTCGGTAAATGCATTTGTAGGTGGACATCTGCTTAGAGATGTGTGAGGTTTCTTTTACGCATCTTCCAGCACCTGATCTTCGGAGGTGCTTCGAACCAGTGCGCCCATCTGCCAAAACGCCAACAGATCTAATAAAATAAAAGGGGAAGAGACATTTTTTGCTGCCCTAGGTGTCAGTCTTTTGGGAAACCGAAAGAAATCGGTTTGGCATTGCGCGCCATTGCGCCAAAGGATGTTAACAGTAAACTTGCTACATACAACAGGAAATAGTTATAAAATATATGTCAAGCAAAATCAAGGTTTGAGCAGTAGCATGCATGCCTTTGTTCAAGTCCATGACCTTCGACTGTTTGGAATGAGTGCTAGATGGTGTCTGGCAGGTACGAGGATCACATTGAGGACGCGTCCGACATTGCTGCATGGGGCAGCGTTGCCGGCGTTGCATTGCCCTTCTCTTAGGGGTTCAATGGCTACTGTGTACATGAATGTCTTGGTTGCTAGTCTCACGAATCTTTGAGGAGGGCTAAATCCACAAGACCTGGCACATACTGATATCCAGGCAAGTAATCTCAGACGACCCCAATGACTATGTCCCTTTCGGGGATGGGGCGTGTTCAGGACTATTTCAAGGCCACCAAGGCGGTCTACAAGGAGTCGGCGGATTTCGGGTGTGTGGAACCTGACTTCGGACAGTTGGGTGTGTGTTCTTTGAGTTTTTTTTTTCTAATTTCAAGGGAAAAGAAGAACCACCCATTTTGGAGGTCCCCTGTTTTAGGACATACCCGCCCTGGGTTGGAACTTTGGCAAAGGCAAGGGTTTAAGTCAATCCTTTCCGAGCGACCAAGGGAGGTATTTTTTGGTGAGAGAACTATGGGCTTTGCCCATGGACATGATTTCTGAGGAGGACTTCTTTCGGGGTGCGTGAAGAGAGGAGCCCAAAAGAGCCCCTAGAAAGCGGTTTGAAGTTTGAAGTTCTGGCGAAAGAAGTGGGCCCTTCGCTGGGTGATTCATGAGTTTCATGTAGCTCACGGCCGAGTGAGCGAAGCAAAGAACACAGGTAATGTGCAAGGATCGATTGCATTCGCTTTTCATTGTTTCCGGCACGCCAGAATTGTTTACTTTCGCGCGCGTATCGTCTATGTAGAGTATCTAGTTGCTAATACATCCAGAGCCCTACCCAGGATTCCACTGGTATCCACAGAGTACCAGTGGTTCCTTCACACCGTTGGCCGGGTGTGGGGCGGATCAGCAGTGGTGCACCCAGGTGCACGAGTGTGCCTTTCCGGCCGACACGCATGCCAACAGTGGCATGTGTTTGACAGCAAGACGATGCGCTAACGTGCTTGCTGGGGGCCACATCCGTCGGAAAATGGCGGCTTGCTGATCCAAGGAGGGAGGGCCACTAGTGAGGATGCAATTTGCTTTCGTGGGGCCAAAAGCCAGTGGCAGGCAACAAGCCATCAGGCCGCACAGCGGAATGCATTTCCGCACTTCCTTCAGAACAGGGTATTGCGCAGCGGCATGCGCTGCACAAGCCAATGGTTGTTAAATTTTAAAGTTCGCACGCGCAACGCTGGTCAAAGAACAGAGTGCAGATCCAGCAAGTGGCAGCCTTTGCCCGAGCAGAGCGCCATGCATGCCGTCGGTCGGAGCACGGAGGTCTTTGAATGTCTTTGTCTGATGGATTCCAACAAGACCAGACAGCTGCGTAGCCCAGCTCTGTTTTCACTTCCCCCAGAATTCAAAGTCAGGCGCCCGACGTTTCTGTCCCAACAGATGGCTGTGATCGATCTTTGGCACTTCCGGCCTCAGGACCTGCTGTCCGTCCGGCGCAGCGACACTGGAGACGTGGAGGCCGTCCTGTTGCCCTAACAGGAGACCCAAAACCTCTAAAAAGGTCATACCCCCAAATTGTTCAGGTTGTTGAGTCTCTAGGTAGCAAGGGCAAGTGCCTAAGGCAAGTGCCTAGTTCCTACCGGCTGTCAAGCAGTCTTTGGATTCGCATCCGCGTGTTTGGCATACTGCTCTATTTGTTAGAGGTCGAGAAAACGACCTAACACCTTACCCAATTTCAACAGGTGAATAGGACATGGGCAGGAATCCGGCTGTCCCTCTCAAATGGCTGCCTCTTTGTGACACAGCCATGTGGTTCGTCTCCCCCCCCCCCCCCCAAAAGGGTGTCCCTCTGGTTTTCCTTCAATCCCATAAGTGTCCTCCTTTTTCAGGCTAGTTTGACTAGAAATAGATGGCGCTGGTTTTTTTTCCATTTACCAGGGCCATCGATTTGTTCAAAAGGACACCTGTGCTCAATCCGCCAATTTCAAGGCACGCCAATCCGAGCCTAAGCACGATCGACTGAGGTGCTCTCCACAGTGGCCTCTGTGCAGTCTCTGGGGGAGGGAGGCGCCTTGTACCAGAAGGACACAAATGGCTGTGAGTCAAAACCAATGGTACCAGTTACCATTTTGGGGTAGGTGCACCACCCATTCTAGTCTATTTTAGTGGGGATTGGGATGTTCACTGGGGATACAGGATTTTGACGGCCAAATACCTGCGATCCCAGCCAGAAGCGCTCTCGCCAATTTGGCGACGCAACACCAGCTGATTGAAGCCCCTTTCTTTGGGTTTTTTTCCCAGTGTTTGAAACCTTTGAAATCAACCAACAAAAAACTGGTGCCTTTGTTCAAGAACATGCGAAGTGCGGTTTTTCACCGAGAGAATTGTAATTGATCCCACGGGTTTAAGCTTGGGGCCTAATCATTTGCAAGTACCATCGATGTGTCCAAAGGACGCCTAGAGAGAAGCGCGGAGGTTCACACAAGGCGGTGGTTTGACATGTGTGTTGTTCTGTTACACGACCATATAATGATTATGGAATGCTACAACACAACAGGTGTTACTCATGAACCACTTGCAGGTGCTGTTAGATTCTGCCAATGTCACAATCGGAATGAGCGTGATTTTGCGTGGCTTTATTTGCGTTGGCCACTTGGCAGCCTGAACCACCCCAAAAATGTGGGCTGCCTGTGCTTCTTGCATATTTGAAGATCCGAATTGATCCAATGCCTTTAAGCGTCCATGAATGGGGGCACCACTGGATCTGCGATTTCTTTGGTTGGTAAGGGGTCATACAACTGTAGGATGTCTGCTGAGTATTTGTCTATTCTGGCTCTCTGGTAACAGTTGCAAATTCCAAAGCTGACTTTTAGCAAAGAACTCATGATCTTCATTTACCAGTTGCCAGGAAAGTGGGCTCTAGAGAAGAAACCAGCTAGGGGGACCCATGTGAGAAGCTTACCTTTCCGTGTTAGTGTGTGGTGTGTGGAACTGCTCATAACCCACACATTGCGACCCAGAGATTGCAATGGACCAACTTTCCAGGCCGTGCCTTTGACTCCCCAACCCAAACTTTGTATATTCAGTCTAAGCCGCTCAGGGATATTAACAAGTTTGTTCATAGCCTTTCTTCATCCCAATGATCCAAGCTGGGGCCTTGTCCAATTGGCATGGGCTGATCAAGCCTTGAAAAGACTTGTTCCAGATGTCCAAACCCGATCAACCGCACACTAGATGCCAGTTCAAACTGCAAGACCATGAGCATGTGGTTGGTTGCTTGGGAGAAGAGGATGGATCTTGAGCCTGGGAGAGAGAGTGGTGTGGAAACGTATGCTCGGATGTGCTGGAAGGTGTGTCCTCTCTCGGACCTTAGATTAGCTTGATTGAATGTGTGTGTGTGTGTTTGTGTTTGAAAGCTGAGTTCAGGTTGGTTTTGATAGTGGCTCTCGTGTTCTGCTTCCGTTTTTGTCAAACCTTGCTGAATCAAAACGGGCAACCCGGCAACAAGCCGCCTTGAAAAGCGCCTCCTTTGCATTGAAAGGACAGCTTGCTGAACTTTTGCTACGTCATCCACGACCCAGTGCGGGCCGCGGAGATGGATTTGCAGACGTGAGGACGTCTTGTACTGTTCAGCTCTGGATTTGCTGACGGAGTGTCCGCGGTTCAGCGAGGCACATGGACATGTGCTGATTGGGATGGACTTGGGCAATAGAAATCGTTGGGAAAGCGGATCCTGCTCCCAGGGCTCAGGGCTTTCTTCATTGCCAGCAAACGTTGATTCCTTTTGGGGCGTTGAGTCAACGATCGACAACTAGACTTTGCGTGTTGGGGAAAAACTGACTTGAAGCAGGGTGGATCAATCAATCCGTCAAGTCTCGCCCAGGTTGTAAGGCACGTCAAGGTGTGGTGCGCCTGGGCACGGGCAGACAGGCAGGCAGATAGATATAGACTGGATGGACGGACGGACAGGCGGAAGAATACGCATTGTGTACAATACGAATCCATACATATACATATATATATATTATAACATGTATATATGTACATTGACATGTGTTTGTCTTCATTTGTTTGCAATAGGAGCCTGTTTCTTCGAGCTTGATTTCGGAAGGACATGCGATCTGTATTTCTCCATTGTCACTTCGGGCAAACGACATATGGTCCATGGCGCGCAGGCCATAAGGATTGGGCCTGCGACTTGCAAGGCTGCGTTTACACCTCACATTTGGGGCGTGTGGTGATTGGCCTTGGGTAAGGAATGAATGGTTCCAGCAAGGGGAGAACAAATGAGTTTGCATGGCGGTTTTTGTATTTTGGGTGCAGGGCTTAGGTTGAAGTCTTAAGTGTTATGCTGTGTTATCCATCACCACAATACGTTGCTTGCCAAAGTGGCAGCCCTTGTGAACTCAGGTACTTTGGCTTCCGGCCGCTGTGGTGACGGCCAGCTTGGCATTTGGGCATCGGTAAGAAGGAGAAGGGGGTTGTTTGCTTGGTCCCTTCATCTGCCAATTTCTGCCATGCCTGGTGCTTCAAAGATCTTCAGCATCAGTGGGCCCACATTTCGCACACTAATTGATCCTCGGAATGCCAGATTTACGCAGAATCAATGAATCCATGGCGCCCATCCAACTTGTAGTGCGAATTCCATCTTACTGCATGCTGCTTTGCACAACACGTGCTTTCCAAAGCGGATGGCCCAAAGACTTGCGCATTGAGAATTCATGCTTCATACTGCATCCTAGAAAATATTGTTATTTGAAAATAATGAAAAGATAAATTACTTGATAGATTACCTGGCACCCCGTATGGCTCTCTTTTTTTTCGGTCATCCCGTATTTGGTATGGTCATGATTTTCCGGTTATTTACGTAAATGATCCGTATGAAACCCATATTTTGTTGATATGTTATTTAAAAGAAGCCATAAATATATATATATATATATATTATATTTTGATATAGACATATTATCTAAAGAAATTGATATATACGGGGTTTAGATAATAAATATATAAATGATGTTATGATAGGTAATTTAAGGAGATGTATTTAATTTTGATTTAGATATGATTGAAATTTTAAATATTGTAAGTGCGGAGTAGAAAATTAAAGGATATGATTTATTAAGGGAATTATTATGATATGATATTGGTGATTTTTGTGTTTTTGATAGAATATTGAATTTGTAATATATTGGGTTTCGGAGGTTGGGTTATATATTTAACTTTAATATAATTGGGGGAATAATTTATATATAATAAATAATCTTATAGAAATGATGTTAATATATGTGTTGGTGGCATTTGTAATATTTAGGATTTTTATTGTTTGGGATATTTGAAGTATCCTCGATATATAAAATTTATGAAATATTGAATATTATGAAATTTGGAAGAATAATATATAAGGAATTCTTTGTCTTTTAAATATTATGAATTTCATATAAATATTAATGAGTTACAGAATGAATTTTGATTAAGATTTATAAAATTGATATATTTGTACGAAGGTAGGTAATTCAACATCTTTGTCGGTTATATATATATGTAGGCTGAGATTTAAAACAAATCTTTCGAGACGGTGTGGAGCGATGGGCGCGGACTAAAAAATGATGGTTAATTTTTGCGAGATATTTGGGGTGAATAGATATAAATACGAAAATAATCTCGATATATGAAATTTGGTTAGAGCTCGTTACGCACGTAGCGGGCGATACGACAGAAATGGTTTTATCATGTGTTTTGATGGCATTTGCAATATTTAGGGTTTCCATTGTAGGTTTTGGTATGTTTTGGGGTGATATTGAGATAAGAATTTATTTGGGGAGGACGGGTATGTTATTTTATATAATTAATAAATATGAATTTGATAAAAAGGAAATTATTGGTTAATATAATTAATTTAATGAATTATATATATATATTATTCAATTATTCATTTTGATTATATATATAATTATTATAATTTATAATATTTATAGAAATTATATTTATTGGTTTAATATAATTTAAAGAAATTATAATTATTTTAATAAATATATATATACATAGAAATCATATTTTTCGAAGATATATATAGATATATTTATTATTTTAATTTATTAATATATATTTTTTATATATTCGTATATATTTGCCGATGTTCTCTTTTATAGAATTATTTATCCTAGCATACCCATATGAGCTTATATATATATATATGTTCCAGGCTTCCTTGGCCCCCCCCCCCCACCCCCCCCCAATGGTCATGTTCAGTCGGGAAGGTAGCACAGTGTGATCCTACGAGCCCCCCGCCCCCCTGTGGGATGGGTGGGGGGGTCCATGGTTCCCACCCCCCCCCGCCCCCCTATGGGAATGGGGGGTGGGGAGAATGGTGGCACAGTGTGACCGCAAAGCCCCCCCGCGACCATGGTTCCCATACCGCCCGCTAGGGTAGCAAGTAAAGTGCGTTTGCCACTGGCACGTTGCAGCGCACTTGGTTGGCACTTGGTTGTGGCGCTGCAAACCACAAATTGCGTCGTGGCATCGCGCAATGTCAATTGCGACAGCGCTGCAACTTGTCGCGTGCTGCAAAATGAGCAAATCGCATTGCAGTGCATCACACGAACAGCGCCGCAAACGCGCCCACAACACACTGGAGCAAGCCGCCCCACAGGCCCCCCCCCCCCGTGGGGGGCGGGGGGGCCAGGGTCCCCCCCCCTGGATGGACCCATACCATTGGGGGGGGGGGGGGGCTGGGGACGACGGGCGACGGGAACATATATAAGCATTAAAAAAATAGTATTTGAATATGGTTATATGTTCGTTTATAAAAAGTGTATGTACTAATATTATATTGGAGATTATGTTGAATAAATTGGTTTATAATAAAATTTAAATATTTCTAATATTAAATCAAAATAGATATCAATTTCTAAATATATATTATATTTATAATATCCTTCATATAATAATGCCAATCCTATTTATGATTTTCTTTTATTTATTAAATCATAATTATACCCGCTCGACTTATCGCCAAAAATTACTCTCGAGAATTATTCATTAAAGATATCGGAAAATTCAGATGCTGGTGATGCAGGAATACGGGAGATATTAGTGAAATTTATAAAGATATAAAGGATATTAGAAGAATTTTAATATAATTATTATATTTTTTAAAATTAGCCAATATAATACTAGGAATCCGATAAAAACCCAAAAATATAATATAAAACATATTCAAAAAACATTTAAATCGTAATATATAATATTATAATATTAAAATATATTTTGAAAAATCAAATTTAAATAAATCAATAAAATCAAATAAAATAATATCCTTATATAGTTGTTTCAACAAAAATCACAAAACTTATATTATATACAAATTTTCAAAAAACATCAAATTTTTAAAAACATTAAATCCAATACAAAAATAAACAAATTCCCCCCAAAAAAATATGTTCCTAAAAAAAATGTACTTATATAAAATCCATCATATTATAATATTCTAAATATGTCATTCCAATCTTTAAAAAAATAATTAAAACAATCAAATTATAGATTTTAATATCGGTTTATTCATTTTAAAATATTTTTTAAAATATAAATTAATATAAAATATATTCTATAAAACAAAACCGTGAAAATTGCTCGTCGCACTTACGCGCGTTTTCCCGGACCGCTTTTCCGAAAATCCCGGATATTTCGGAACTTGATGCAACCGCTTCATATTTCCTACGGATCGCTTACCCAAATCTATCCGGGCTACCGCCGGAAGATGCAATGGCTTCATTGGTTATAAGAACCAATTTCCCGAAATATTCCAAATATCCGGGATATTTCGGAAAATAATACAGTGTTAGAGTATGGTCAGGTTAGCAGGGGCTGCAGATTTACAACGTCTTGCAGTGGCCAGATCTGTTTCGCAATCAAGACTTACAGTTTCCTTATAGTTTCCTCATCATCATTTTAGCGATAAATAAGAAGTTGGGTTCTTTTTGGACCAATCCACTCAATTATCTTCATGCACCAGTTAGATTGACTTTTGGACTTCCCCTACAGTAGGATTGGTTGCCCTATTTCCCTTTAATCGCCCGTCAGGCTTGCCATCGGAAGCTTTTCGACTAAATCCCCAAATAATACCTTTTCTCCCCCTTTTTGGGGAGAGGATTCCCCTACTAAAATAGACTACAGAAAAAAAATGGCATCCTAACCTCTAACCTCTCAAATCTAGAGGACCTAGCCACAATGAAAATTGATTCTCTAAAATTGAACACTAGAAATCCAGAAGGGGGGGGGTCCTCCAACAAATTTGGCGCCGGGTTCGCTTTCGGGGCATATATTTGCTTATCCGTAGCAATTTTCCGAGAGTTTGGCGATGCGAGAAATTGTGAGCCGCGGCCGATTGTTGCGACCAATGGTGTTTTTCCCAATGCTTTGGGCAAAATCAGTTCGGCTTTGCTTGCACCCAGGATATTTTCTGGTCGATCGCGTTTTCGCTTGCGCTTGTAACTGCGTGTGAGGATGGATCTTTTGAGACCAACAGCCCGCGGATCCGTTCTCATCTTGCTCAGGCGACCGCCTTTCACTGACTCTTTGGCGTGACCTTCTCGCGACCAACAACGGCAACATGTTTTTCGCATGCGACGAGTATACATTTTTTAATACATATGAAATGATAAAATATGTTGGTGCGTCTGTCTGTGTCTGTTTGTGCCTATGTCTGTGTCTGTGTCTGTGTCTGTGTCTGTGTCTGTGTCTGTGTCTGTGTCTGTGTCTGTGTCTGTGTCTGTGTCTGTGTCTGTGTCTGTGTCTGTGTCTGTGTCTGTGTCTGTGTCTGTGTCTCTATCTCTGTCTCTGTCTCTGTCTCTGTCTCTGTCTCTGTCTGTTTGTGTGTGTGTCTGTGTGTTTGTGTCTGTGTGTTTGTGTCTGTGTGTCTATATCTGTGTGTCTGTGTGTTTGTGTCTGTGTGTCTGTATATTTATTTGGTTGTGTTGGTCTTTGTTTCTATTTTTATTTTAACTAAAAAAAATATAAAGGAATAAGAAATAATCTTCTAGAGGGGTAGAACAATTTAATTTTAAATTTTAAAATTGGAATCGAAATTATCCTTAATTTTTTTGGTTTAGCCTTTAAAAAGGGTCTTATAAAAGTGTATTTAAGTAAGAAGATTCAAGTTAATGACGAGACGATAAAGCTGGCCGATTTCGGCCTAATATAAGGGATTCGAGCAAATAATTCCATCGAACCCATATTAATATAATTTATTATAGACGAATATATCCATAAAAAATAATTTATTTAGATATTCCATTATTATTTTAATTAAAATATTGTGCCCGTTTTACGAGAATTTAGCGATTTGCGAGAATTTAGCAATAAGAGAATCGATTATTATAATTAATAGTGTGTTTCTTAATAGTGTTTTCGAATACGTTACAATAATTATATATAGGAATGCATCTTTTAAGGCCCTGTCGATTCTCCCCTTATTTAGGCAACCACCTTTCACTAAGACACACTATTACTTTATACATCATAGTGCTTTAAAAAACATATTAAAATACTA